GATTGATCGGGCGAGTTAATCGGGTCGGGCTATGTTTTGACACCTATAGTTGAGACTATCAAACGGTCCTCGTCCAAATTTAGCAAGGGTTTGACCATACCCTTGTCGTAGGCTTTCTGGAGAGAGAGTCAGGGTTGGTCGTCCTTGTCGCGGCTCGTAAGAGTAGTCGCCGATTAATTTTAGGAAAAATTCAGTTGTGTAGCCAAAACTTTCACGTTTGTGACAATAATAGTCATTTTTGACGAAATATCAAAAATAGCCAAAATTTTGAAAGTTTCTTGACAAATATAGCCATTTCCGTTCCATATTTTAACCGCGTTAGTGACACTGTTAGTCAAATTAACAAAATACTTACCTGGCTGCCAACTCACCGGACACATCATTGACAACTCAACAACACTTGCCACATGGATGCCATGTCATATTTTAATTTTAAAAATAAAAAAAATCACTCATCCTCTCTCCTCTCCCACCACTCGATGTTGTCGTCCTCTCTCTTTTCCACCATCGTCAGTGTCTTTTGCAGCTCATCCTGCCGTCATCTCCCTGCAACAACCCAGCGGAAAAAACACCCGCTATCCCACACGCCGTTCAATTGTTTTCTTTATTCCGCAAAATGCCCTCACGGCCTTCCTCTTTCTTTCACCATTGTCCAGAGCTAGTTTTAAAACCCGCCATGGATATATATACAAACCTCATTCCCTGGTTTTCCCCCTGCAGAGCTTTTAGCCCAAATTATAGTTACCTGTCAAGAACCAGTTGCTCCCAATAACTCGAGTTGTTGGGAGAGGTTCAATAGTGGATCATATACCACAACACTAACACGCCCCCTCAAACGAAAGCCACTCACAAGGGCTTGAAGTTTGCACAGGTCTGAAGACAAGAATACCATGTGCTTAACAAATGGGGGTTACCGGGAATCGAACACAAGACCTCTCGGTCACAGAAGGCTCTGATACCATGTCAAGAACCAGTTGCTCCCAATAACTCGAGTTGTTGGGAGAGGTTCAATAGTGGATCATATACCACAACACTAACAACCCAATCCCCACCCCATCCTTGCTGGTGTTCCCTCTTCAATTTCACAAGAAATGAGAGATTTCGCGATGACGGACGAGGAGGCGATCACTACGGCGGTGGTTGCGGAGTTATCGTTCCCAGTTTTCTGCTCGACGGGGAGCAAGAGATCAATGTCGCCCGGGTGGTGCTCCTCCATTCGATGAATTTCAAGGTCTTCAAATCGAATCGGGGTTGCTTTTCACCAATTCTCCATCCACGTGGCCGATACAAATCGATGCGGGTTCTGAATCCCGGCCACCGAGAAGACTAACTTCTCTACAGTCAAGCGAAACAAGGGAGCGAACGGAGGTGGAGGAGCCCAGCAGCGGTGCAAACAACCGCAGAGAGCCAACACCCTTTCTCTTCACCGCCGACGCCATCCTCTTTGATCGGTGGAGTTTGGGCAGGAAAGGGGAAGGAAGAAGATGATTTGGGAAAGGGGGATTTCGTTGGGAAAGAGAAAGAGAAGGGGAAGGCAGAGAGGTGGAGAGAGAAAATAAAAAATAATTATTTATTTTTATCATTAATTTCAACCTCATATTTTTATTGTTCTTTTATTTAAATCCACGTGGGAATACGTAATGGACGAACACTGTCAAATCAGATGATCTGTTAGTCCAGTCAGCACGTTAATTCACACCGTTAAAGAATTGGACGGAAGTGGCTATTTTTGGTATTTCGTCAAAAGTGGCTATTTTTGGTATTTCGTCAAAAGTGGCTATATTTGGCTAAATCGTCAAAGTTTTGGCTACACAAGTGTATTTTGCCTTAATTTTATTTGATTTATCGGGTTTGGATCTTTGGGTTAAAGCTTGAAGGGTATTTTAGTAGTCCACACCCAGTAAAGCTGAAGGGCTTTTATTCTTTCTGTTAGCTGCGAGCAGTGCAGTCAAAATCGCGCATTAAAACGTAAAAACTTGCGTTTTTACGTATCCTGGCCACCAAAACGCTTCAGTTTCTACCTAAAGTCATTTAGTCACAAAATTGGTAAAACATGGGTAAAATCGGTAAAATCGCAATTCTGAAGCTTTTTTATACGTTTTTTTTATCATCTCATAAAATTGTGCTAATTGGCCCAAAATGATGTAATTTTGGAGACATATCAGCAAACGATTAAAAAAAAAAGGAAAACATGATTCATCATTCGTTCTACAACTAGTGTCGAGATAGGGGCTTCACATTAGGTTGAAAAGACACCTAATGGTATTCTCAACAGCCACGGACCTTCTGTCAGTCTTCTCCCTTAATCTTCAATTGTGGCTCTTACCTGGGTCACAATAAAAGTTTATGGGTAATTGATCGTATGTAATTATGTAAACTCAAACCATCTTATGAGAATTTGGATTCTCAAGCTCGTTTACGGGTTACGATCTACGTTTATGAGTTTATTATGAAGATGTTATAAGTTTTCTCTACTTTTGAGAAAACTAGTTTATGTGTTAGATATTACATTTTAATTATGAATTTAATGTAGTTATTCTCTTATCTAAAATCTACACACACACTCACATTTTACATACTATATGTTGTACTTAACATATTTTAGCTATTTTAGAGGGTGGGTCAAAAACTTACGCTTTTACGCTTTGATTCAATGTTTTACGATTTTACCCATTTTCCGCTTCTAGGTAGAATCGCACTTTTAACTACATTGGCTGCGAGCATGACAACGTTGGTGAATATTGGCAAGAGCAGCAGCGGATCTAGAGGGTTGGGCAATCGGGGCCATGGCCTATCCCTCCGCCGGATCTAGAGCTAGTATAGTGCTTACAAATTTTCCGATTTTAGGTATTCGGTCCAGTACTATTTAAAAGTTGGTCGAGTGTTTTTTGATAATAGAATTTTGTGTAGCTAGAAAAGTGGTCTAGATAAACATATGCATACAACTACTCCCAATTTAGACTAGAAGTTCTAGCCCGAATGATTTTCATGTGAAAAAAAACCCTAAATGTCTAAAACATAAAAGACCGTATAAAGTTTCATTGAGGGGCCGTTTGGAAGTTGTGATTGTTAAATAGATGTATTGTTGAGAATGCATGTATAATATTATACATGTATTGTCGAATTTGATGCATTGTAGAATACAACGTTTGGTATGTGTGATTGTGTATGTCGCATCAGCTAAAAACTGAGACAAAACAATCTCAACTCAACTATCTCAACAATCACAACTAAAAGTTGAGATATAACAATCACTCAAAATGAGTGATAGTTTATGTCACATCATAGAAACAATCCATGTATTGTTTCTGCTAAAAAGCAAAAAAAAAAAAAAACGTTGCATTGTAAACAATACATGCATAATGACAATCTCAACAAAACAATCGCAACTTCCAAACGACCCCTGAAATAAGAAAACCCTCTAAACAAATAGATTTGTTGGTTGATTCGTCTAGTGGTGACCTTAGCCGTTTATGGCGACTACCATGGAGAGAACATTTTAAGCAATGAAATATGTGAAAACTAATTTGAGCAACAAAATGTGCGATGATTTTTTCATTGATTGCATAACGATTTTATTTGAGAGAGTGTATGCTATTGATATGGATGGAGATTATATTATTGATGCGATTTGCCAAATTAAAAAACCTTCTATTACAATTGACATTGTAATTAATGAAACTATAGTTATCATATATTTTTTGTAAATACAATTCATTAACCAAACCTTTCAGACTTTTCAAATTATTAGCCAAACCTTTTGAAATATAAAATATTAGTTAAATCTTATGTAATGCATCAAAATATTAGCCATTTTTCTGTTATCGTTGGTAATTTTGTAACTATTTTCTTATTTGAAATACTAAAATTTTGGACTGTTGACTATTTTTGTTTACGGCATCTAATATTATATACAAATGATGCTAAGTGCTCTATTATGTTCTGGATCCGCCGCTGGGCAAGAGGAGGAGAGGGATTGCATTGGAGGGGAAGAGCTGAAGAGGTATGGCGGCGAGTGCTGCAAGTACTGTTCCGTGGGAAACCGAGCTTTGGCGATGAATTGCTTTTTTTAAGTTGTTATTGATCGATGAACTAGGGAACCTGATTCCCCTCCAATTGGCTGAATTGCAAGTTTTGTCACTTGAATTACTAGTAGATTTCACATTAGTCATTAGAATTACTTTATTCCATCCGTAGTCACTTAAATTAGGTTAACAGTTCAAGTTTGGTCACTAGCCGTTAGTCTCTGTTAACTTTTGCTGATGTGGCGGTCAACTATAAATAAGTGACGTGACAATTAAAAAATAATAAAATTTAATTTTTCATAATTTCCACCTCATTATTTACAATAAATTAAAAAATAATCAAAACAAAAGAATGTCATAACCAAGGGCAACGGCGGAGGATCGAACAAACAACAGCAGTGGCGGAATCACCACCATCACCTCCAGAGGCAACGAGGCGAGGGTGACGATAATCGACCGGCCTACTGCCAGCTGTAGTGTAGTGAAAGAGGAGCAGGCTGACGGTCGAGATACTATGATGAAGGAAATGATGGAGATGGAGTTGGAGATGAACCACGAGTGTGCCGAATTCATCGGTGGGTTTTCCACGGATACTTACCGGCCCGCGCTTGCTGCTCCGTCCGATTTCTTCTCGGACTTGGGGGAGATCGATGCCGACGTCGACCCTCTAAAGCTGTTGTTTAGCCAAGGAGCTGGTAACAATGGCAGCGGTGGGGGTGGAGATCAGAGAAAAGATGAGAAAGGTGGTGGTGGTGGTTTGGAGCCTTCTTTGTTCAACATGTTTGATTGGTCCACTTCATCACTTGTGACGGACAACCACAACCATAGCCCATAGCTATAACAACAACATTATAACTGCTTCGTTTGGAGGTCAGGAAGCTATTGTTGCTGCCAGTAAGAGGGACTAGCTATAGGTGATATCGGGGCCGGTAGCTACGACATCGTCTATAGAGGCAAGCTCGCCAACGTCCATACACCGCTGCCGCTTGACTTTCTCACAAACCCTCAATTCCCTCAATGTCAATCCACAACTTCCCAAATAATGTCAACCCTCTTCCTCCACCTTCTCCTCTTCGCCGTCCAACTACTCCTCTTCACCCGCCTCCTCCGCCGTCGCTTCACCTCCGCCCTTCCTCCCGCCACCGCTTCCACTACTCCGGCCACCGTCCCCTCTCCTCCTCAACCCAGGTACATCGTATTCATCAGCTTCCGAGGCCACGACGTCTGCGACACCTTCTTCAGCCACCTCCACAACCACCTCAGCCGCCACAAGAAGATCCTCACCTACATGGACGATGCTGACCTCGCCCGAGGTCAATCAATTTCGGCGTCCCTCTCTACCACGATCGAGAGTTCGACGGTCTATGTCGTGATCCTGTCGCCGAACTACGTCGGGTCCAGATGGTGCTTGGACGAGCTCGTGACAGTCCTAGAGTGCGAGGAGCGTTACGACAAGAGAGTGATTTCGGTGTTCTACGGCGGGGTGGGTCCCGGTGATGTGGGGGAGCAACGTGGGAAGTATGGGGAAGAAGGTTCCATTCTCCGCCGTTGCCATTGTTTGTGACTTTTTTTTAATTATTTTTTACTTTATTAAATGATGTGGAAATTATTAAATTTTTTTTATTTTAGTTTTTTTAATTGTCACGTTACTCATTTAACGGTCAACATTAAGAGTTGACCGCCACATCAGCAAAAGTTAACGGAGACTAACGGTCAGTGACCAAACTTGAACTGTTAACCTAATTTAAGTGACTACGGATGGAATAAAGTAATTCTAGTGGCTAACATGAAATCTACTAGTAATTCAAGTGACCAAACTTGCAATTTAGCCCCCTCCAATTATATGAGAATTTCGGGTGTCGTAGGGTAACAAATCTAGTCAGTAACCTTGTGGTGCAATAACCTCATACATAACTCAAGAAGAATCTGTTACATCAGCGCCTTCTTCTCTCTCCTCGAAAAAGCTTTAATTTTCCTTTCCTTAATCTTTAACGGATGATTTCTCACTCGTTTTAAGTCGAAATTTAAATTTTTTGGCACAGTTAGATCAGTTTAATCGTGCTCTTCAAAATAATATTCACTTTGATATTTTTTGGGATAAAAAAATTGACAGTTATTACGAGTCTATAACATATGGTATTGATCGTACCATATGTTATTGACTGGTATTAAATAAGAGTATACCATATGATATGAAATACCACCTCATACTAGGGTGGTATAGTATGGTATGTAGTTGGTAACAGAGGTATGCAATTTTTTCACCCAGAAATTTTTGAAATCCAATAGATCATGATTAAATCGTTCCTTTAGTGCAAAAATTTCTGAAAACGACTAAAAAATGAAGGAGATACCATATGGTATGGAGTTGGTAACGAGAGGTTTTTTTCTCAAAAAATATTAAAAATGGGGGTTAAAGACACATTTGGTCACTGAGATTACAAAATCGGGACATGTTTAGTCACTAGAAAAAGTTAATATCAAATTTGGTCACTACAATTACTAAAACTGGACGCATTTAGTCACTCGCCGTTAGTCTCCGTCCAAGTCCGTTAATGAAGTCCGTTAAGTGCTGATGTGGCAAACAGAATTGCCTAATTAGCCGGATATAACCCAACAAAAATAAAACCCGACCCGCCACGTCATTATAACCCGCCACCTCATTAAACCCAACCCAACCCATGACCCAACCCTTCTTCCTCCCACCTCGACACCTCCCACCTCCTTCTTTCCCCAAAACCACCGCCGCCGCCGCTCTCCTCCTTCCTCCCACCTCCTCCCGCAAACCAGTTCTGGCCCGAACCGCCCTACGGCAAGACGAGGATGGGGAGGTTGTAGCCGTCGACGAGGCTGACGTCGAAGAAGTCCTGGCCGCCGTAGCCGTCGAGCTTGAATTCGGCGAGCGTGGCGGGGGGAGCTGCACCGGCGCCGGAGCACTCGACCTGGCCGGAGCCGCAGTCGCCGGTGATGCAGGAGAATTTTCCCGTGGAGTCCTCGGAGCAGTGGGTCCAGCCCCAGAGGCGGCCGCCCCAGGAGGCCGGCTGGGAGATGGTCCGGGTCTCGCCCTTCTGGAGCGCGAATCCGGTGGTGGGCAGCGACGCCACGTCGGCGTTGGAGAGAATGCCCGGCCAGACCGTGTAGTCGCACTGGTTGGTGATTGTGATGGTTGTGGAAACGACGCCGATTGGGAAGAAATTAGCAGTACCCAGGATGAAGAGGAGTAGCAATTGAGGAATTAGAGGAGCCGCCATTGAATCAATGGAAAAGAAAAGAAGAATAAGAGTTGAAATAAGATTTTTTTGGAATTGGGAATGACAGAGGAAGAAGATGAAGGAAGGGCGGCAGATTAATGGCGGAGAGATCTTCTCCCCGCCCAGCGAATTTGGATGGGATGGGGAAAACCCTAAATTGGGTTCGACCGGACTTCAACAGGAGGAATCATGACGATTACCCTTCAGCAGGTCGAATAGGTTTGTGGGAGGAGGTGGGAGGAAGGAGGAGGGCGGCGGCGACAGTGGTTTTGGGGAAAGAAGGAGGTGGGAGGTGCCGAGGTGGGAGGAAGAAGGGTTGGGTAGGGTTGGGTCATCGGTTGGATTGGTTTTAATGAGGTGGCGGGTTATAATGACGTGGCGGGTCGGGTTTTATTTTGTTGGGTTATATCCGGCTGATTAGGCAATTCTGTTTGCCACATCAGCACTTAACGGACTTCATTAACGGAGTTGGACGGAGACTAACGGCGAGTGACTAAATGCGTCCAGTTTTAGTAATTGTAGTGACCAAATTTGATATTAACTTTTTCTAGTGACTAAACATGTCCCGATTTTGTAATCTCAGTGACCAAATGTGTCTTTAACCCTTAAAAATGGATATCATTTTGTAGAGCACAACGAACTCGTTCCATCTGTGCAAAAAAAAATTGAAATCAGAGTTAGAATGAAGAAGATATGATCCAATTAAGGAAATTAGGGAAACTATATTTTTTTTAATTCTCCACAGTTAGACCTGCAGCTACTTAAAAAAAGAGTCCATATTTGGTTACTCATAGTTATGCACCCTATCTTGAGCCGTGCCAGAGAGATATATGAGTGTCGGCAGTGGGTTGAATATATTCAGAAGAGGAAAGCAATTGTTCGGGAGAAAAGAAAGTTACTTTAAAAATGAAATTAATAGTTTGTTTTTTTATTTATGTAAAAAGCTCTATTTTCATAACCGTACCGGAGGCTGAACCGGAAAAATTAGTGGTTTAGCGTTCAACGATTAACCGTTATAAAATCGTTAGTGAATCGTTGATAGGACCGTTCATGATATATAACATATAAGACTTGCATGTTATAATACTTTAACAATGAAGTTATCATTGACCATAAACAATTCCAAATTCATATTATCACCAAAATATATAATAAATTATTCAAACTGTCTCAAAAAATAAATCGTAATTTTTTTAATACAAAATAAAAATTATAGTATCGGTCGGTAGTGGACAACGTAAAGTCGACAACAAGGTTGGAAAATGAGAAAAGGAAGCATATACAAAAGTAATAATTATGTTTTGATGGTCTTAGTTTATGTTAAAGTACTTTTTCAATTTTTTTGTTAAAATAATGAACCATTAGACCAGTTGAACCGTGGTGGTTCATCTAGTTTTATGTTGAACCGTGAAAAATCGTTTGGTCTATCAATGATTGTCCAAGCAATGAACCGGACTGATATCATAACTGGTTTGACGGTTCTACTGGCCCAACCATTGATCCGGTTCGGTTCTTATAACAATGGTAAAAAGTAATTAAAAAGAGACAGTGGAGGTAGGACTTTGCTACGGTGACATGCACTTTTCGGTCGACCTCATATAGGATTAGGTCGACCTAATCTGTTAGGGGTGGCAATACGGTCCGGTCCGGTTAAATTGGCCCAAATTGATCCGGTCCAGTCCGGTCTTTTTGAAAATATAAGGACCAAAGATTGGATTGGATACAGTCCGGTCTTGATCCGGTCCGGTTTTGATCCGGTCCGGTCCCAATTCAGTTTTGATTTTACATTGAGATTTTGGGATTTGAGTGGCCTAAGGCCTTAAAGGGTGAGGAGTTGGTTAAGTTTTGTACTAAGTGCAAAGGTTTGTGACCGTTTATCCAAATTACCCTTAAGTTTTGGGTGTTGAGCTCTCTTATCCGGTCTTTATCCGGTTTTTTACCTCAAATCTAAGCCCAAAGATTGGATTGGATTGTTTACTATCCGGTCCCGGTCCGGTCTCGGTCTGGGTTATACGGTCCGGTTTCCGGTTTTTAATCCGGTCCCGGTCCAAATAGCCACCCCTATAATCTGTTGTTTCAGTGTAAAAACAGTTTCATGGTGCCTACTTTGGAGATTCATATCTTACAATTGGCGAGATGGAAATTGAATATTAGTGGCTTGTTTTGAAGCTGAAGTGTCCCTCTACACATTAAAGTACTTGGGAGCTCGATAGGAAGTCCAGAATACCATTTTTTAACCTGATCAAAAGGCTATGCCAAAACTGGGAAGCTGTCTGAAAATGGCTAAGTCTGGGAACGTGTTTGTGAAGCCTACTTTGGAGCTTAATTTGAGAAGCATAGATGCGATTGAAGTCCAGAGGCCTATACCACGTTAAATTAGGTATTTCTTTTTTCATGATTTTAGCACACATCTTTTCATTGTGTGCAACTCGGACTTGGACATTAGTTGTTTCATGACATCAATTAATCTTTTTCATGATTGTTCGATTATTAATATGAATTAGTCTCTATATTTCTAAAAACATCATTTAAGATAACGGAATTTGAGAATATAGATTGAGTACTTGGAAGAAATTAACGCATCAATAAAAAGATCAAATGGGGGTTATATATAGGGAAATGAATGTTCATGTGGATAATTAGAAAATTAAAGCAGCAAGTTGGCTGGATTAGGTACATGATTTATCATATTTGGAAGGAGAGAAGGGAAAATGATTAATGAATAACTAATAACAAAACACAACCACGGGTATAGATAGGGCCACTAGCCTTTCTTTTTTTCTCTGGGAAGTTTCCTCGAGACATGAAATAATCAATATAATTAAATGGAGACAAATTGAGGTTAAAACAATGCCAAGTTGTTGTTCTTAAACATATTTTGTTTCCTTTTAAGAGATAGTGAAAGTGTAATAGAGTTCGGTTAAAGCCTGGTAGAAGGTGGTAGAAGGAAAACAACGCAATGCAATACGAAGAGGGTAGATAATAGGTTCCAAGCATAATTCCATTACCACCAACCATACTCTTTTTGGTTGTCACATTTGTTGGATGAAGCTGCTATATCTATGATTTGCAATGAATTTGAGTGGAGAAGTCAAAATCTGAATCAGAGAGCTGATTTAGACAATGATAATTTGAAGAGGAGGCTAACGTTTTACTAACTACTATATTTTGCAAATTTGTTAAAAATTTTACATGTGTTTCGAATTTTACTGATAATTGCGCACCAAATGAAATGTTGATTTCATGTCACATATAATGTTTTACTCTTCGTTGATCTAAAATGCCAAATTTTAGAGATGAAAACCAAATAAAATGTTGATTCCATGTCACATGTAATGTCGATATACAATTTCCAATCTCCTAAAAACTTATTGTTAGGGCCGAAATCCAAACAAATAGCAACTTGCACTTCTCCTCCCCTCCCCACTTGCTCCATATATATCACCTATTAACTAATCTCAAAATTTAAATCCCTTTCCAAAAAGATTTAATGCCAACTTGCTTCCCTCAAAACCCTTTTCCAATACCTTCTTGTATATATAAATCTTCCATGAAGGCCAATTCTCCCTTCCTAATTACCATCACCGGGAAAAAAAACTCCCTCGTCGGGGATTCACCGCCGGCGTCACGCTAAAAACCAAACCAAACCGTACCGTTCACATCTACACGATCTAATCAGCCATGCCAGCCGCCCTCCACCTAACCCCATCTCCAGCCACCGCGGCAGCACCCTCGGTTTACCAATACAAGCAGCCGGCAGACTGCCGGCACGTGCCGTTCCTCCTGCAGGCACGTGACCACGACGACCACGCGGTGCCGGAGTACGTGGCGCGTCACCACACGCGGGCGATGCGGTCGAACCAGTGCAGCTCGGCGGTGGTCCGGCGCATCGACGCCCCGGTCCCGGCCGTGTGGTCGGTGGTCCGTCGGTTCGACAACCCGCAGGCGTACAAGCACTTCCTGAGGAGCTGCCGCGTCATCCAGGGGGACGGCGGTGTGGGGACGCTCCGGGAGGTGCGCGTGATGTCGGGGATGCCCGCGGGGACCAGCACCGAGCGGCTGGAGATCCTGGACGAGGAGCGCCACGTCATCAGCTTCAGCGTGGTGGGCGGGGACCACCGCCTCCGCAACTACCGGTCCGTCACCACGCTCCACCCGGCGGCGGCGGGAGGCGGCGGAGGCACGGTGGTGGTGGAGTCTTACGTGGTGGACGTGCCGCCGGGGAATACCGAGGAGGACACGTGTAGCTTCGTGGACACCATCGTGGGGTGCAACTTGCAGTCTCTGGCTCGGATCGCCGAGAACATGGTGGCCGCCACCGCCGGGGAGAACAATATTACTCCTCCTTCCTCATGATTACTTCATTAATCCTCGTACTTATCGGCTTCTAGAGGCGTCATTAGTTGTTTCTTCTGAGGAGGGTTTAGTTAAGTCTCTTTTTTTTTCCCCCTGGTTTTGTTTAAGTATGGATCCTCAAGAAGTGCATATAAAGCATCGAGGCGAAGTATTGGCGTTTAATTTTTGATCCTTTATATACAAAGGATTTGAGGTACGCTAGTTGTAATTGATCGAAGTAGGTCGGAAGTATATTGATCGAAGAAGGTGATATGATGATCATGTTATTTGTATCAGCTTTGTCTCTACAATATTGTAATTGTCTGTTTATTTTCATAGCTAGCTAGGGTTTGGTGTCGAAATATACGTTGGAATTAATGGAAAGGATAATTGTGGATAATACTGCGTCTTTGTCTTCCTACACGGTTTTGCTTCGGGGTGCATAATTAATAATTTTTTGGAAGTTCGTTAATCTTTGCAATATTTTACTCTGCGTACGTAATTAACTTTACAATTTCTGCAAGAACTTCTCTATCTCCCTTCGAAACGCGTCTTGTTAGTCAACGTTGATTTGTTTCTTTCTTATGAATAATGAATTTGTCCCGTGTTTTGTCGAGGTGAGATTTGTCTAAAGTAATACATTATATGTCTCCAAACACCGAAATTATCAATAACCAATTAGTTTCAATAACTCGAGTTGTAACAACTAGCTAGGTGTGGTGTTTTATGCCAAAGAGATAATGGAGATTAAATTCCCCTGTGAGCACTCCATGTAGCTAGGTGCGTACGTGATAACTCAAGTTCTGCATTTTACACGCAATGTTTTGGCAGATTTGGCTTACGCGTAGTCAATATATCTTTCATAACGTGAAGGTCCTTGCTACTGTCATCACCTGCAATGCTGTTAAAATGGCTATTTCTTGGGCAGCAACACATGGAAAGATCAATAAAGAGCAGGGATCCGCTTGGGTTGCAAGTTTCCTCCGACATGTTTGATCATGCGGAATCCTGTTTCTGCGATTGAATGATTTCATTGTTTTTTTTTTTTCACTACTGTCCTCTTGAATGGTCTGTGATTGACTCTTTGCCTCCTTGCAGAGATGACAATTTGTACTACTTTTCTACTTCTTGGAGCGGGGTGGTCTGGTCCACCTTGCTCCTTCTTTTCGTCTCTCTTCTTTCCCAGCTCTTTGTTTACTTTTCATTTTTCTTTATCTTTAGGCAGGTTCAGCTTGTTGAACATCTCCCTCTTGTATATTCATTTTCTCTTCTTTTTTTTTCAATGCAATCACCATTATAAAAAAAGCTTGCTAAGTTGCTGGCCAGACATCCTAATTAAATGAGGAAGAGATAATGAACTCAATCTGCAGTATGCACAATTCATCATGATATAGTTGGTATACGATGAAGGTTGAATGGGAGCATTCTAGAGCTGCTGGCTAACCTCAGTAATCCATTAATAAGTTAAAATTAATTTTGCAAACACGCTATCAACTTGTATATTAATTTTGCAAGCTGCCAACTTGGTCTTGCGGGCCTGAAACATTACAAACACGCTGTCAACTTGTATATTATATCAATCAATTAATAAGTTGGCAACTTGTTTGCTTTTGTTTATGTATACAACTTAAAGATATATATTCAAACCCTGTTTTGGTCCTTTTGAATCTTGTGTGTCTGGTTGTACCAAATGCCTGCAAGCAGGGATGCTGCTAATTAAAGAAGTAAAGAGAGCTTTCTTTTCCCGCTGCCTGCAAGTTGATACGCAAGTTGAGCAAGAAAAGAAAGAAACGCTCCTTTTTCATGTTTTTATTTATGTGTTTTTTTTTGTGGGTATGCAGGCTGCTTCGGATTTATGTTCCCCTCTTCTTGACAAACAATAAAGAAGTAGATATGTACATTTGATGTTGTCCACATCACAGCACGTCGATGATCTGATTTGATTTGACCACTGCAGCGGCGAGAAACATGATGGTGATTTACTTAACGCGACCCAATCCACCAAAAAACACTCCTCCATGTATTCGAGAAAGGAAGAAATATATATGAACAACTTTATACTGACCATGCTCCTGTGATCAAATAAAATGCAAATCCCTTACTAGATGTAGATATAGAAGCCTAAAAACCAATGTTGTCAGAACCGAACCAGAGCATGACCCGATAACGTGAACGGCTCGCACTTTAATGGTTCAACCGGTATTGGGCCGTTAAAAAACCGTTACAGAACCGGTATCATATAAATAATAATATCATAAGTAGTAGACACATAAAGTAACAATTTAATAATTTAGTGACTAAACTGAAATTTAATTTACAAGTACCACTTAATAAATTTACCATATATATATATATATAAACTAAATAACAAACCCTAACCCCCACCCACCCTCAGCCGCAGCCACTCTCACTCTCGTTATTTTTTCCATCTCTCTCTCCTTTCTCAATTTTCAATAGTGGTCGTCCTCTCGCACTTTACCAATTCCATCTCTCTTTTGTCTTCTCTCTCAATTTCCAGCGACGACTCTCAATTCCCAAATGGCGACCGACCTCACTTACCCCTCCAGCGAAAGACGAAGAAGAGAGGAAGGTGGAGGATAGAGACCGGTAGGCACCGGCGCCTTTTCTCTACTTCCGAGGGAGCGGTGAATGGTAACTCAACAGCAGCACCGCCGCGCGTCAGAGCAACTGCCACGATTCGATTGCCGGAGAAGACGATGGATTTGCCGACAGCGGTTGTGTCGTCGGCAAATCGCCGCAGGCGACGCCATTGTACCCAGATTTTTTTTAATTTCCAGACGGTTAGAAAAAAAAACCGGTCAAACCGACCTTTCTGACCGTTTCGGCTATTTGGGGGTTCCGACCCGGGCTGGCGTCCGGGTGCCGGTTTTACCGGTCCGACCGACCGTCTCGGGTCGGCTTTAACAACAGTGCTAAAAACCCCATCAATAGTGGTGGCAAGTTTCTTTTCATCTTACCTTGACGAACTCTAATGAACAAGCATACTTAAAAGCAAGGTTTGTGAAACCGTATCTGAGATCATTGCCGGAAAAATCAAAAATCATTGTCGGAAAAATCAATAACATGAGATTTTGTAGTAAAACCTTGATTTATCCATACATGATTCAACCATTTCTTATCATTAAAATCGCCTATCATTTTAATTCAGGTATACGGTATTTCAGATCGAACCGATCGATACTGTAGCATTTGCTAAACATATCTAACAGTGTCAGCGACAGCCAGCGTCACGTTCTCTCTAGTTTGCATGCCAAAATGCCCCAGCTGCCAGCCAATACCCTCCACATTTCTTTTGGATTGGCTTGGTGGGCCTTATATTGGGCCCAAACCAAGCGCCACATATTAAATGAATTTAAGCCCTTTGCCCTCATTCCAGGCCAGCCTCCTACATTTTGTCAAGCTCCCACAGCCATGTTTTGGTCGGCCTTCCACTTCTCACCCATATATCATCTGTTACGCTCCATTCGTTTGTTGTGATGTTTTTATGAAATATGTGACAACACAAGGAAAACAGAAACAATATAACAGCTTAAAACAAAAATGCGTTTAGTTTACAATTTTGGAAAATCTTGACATCAGAAACTATAATGTGGTTTTTTATTCTTTTGCGAAACAAAAACAAGCACCTATTGAAACAAAACGAGCATCCACGCAAGTTATTATGTGTCATCATGGTCTTCATCAAAATGAATACCTCATCAAGTTATTATGACTAACGGTACGAAATCGTACAGTGGCCTAAGTCTCAAAAGTCAAAACAAAGGCATTCATAGTCTCGAATGAAAGTGATCCCATAGATACCAATTGTCCATTCAACTCTCCGCCAACAAACAACATTTCATTACTTTTAGTTTGAATTTTGCTCTGCCTTCTCTCTTCTTCCAAGCTTCCATTTCAGACTTCAGGGGCTGCCGCCGGCTCCCTCTTGGAGACCGGCGGTGGCCCAAATCCTTCCATGTTCTGGGTTTTTGTTGCTTTGCTCTGGTTTTTTTTCATTCGGATTTCAGTTCTGTTTTTCCTTGCCGTTGTGGCCTTCTGATTTTCCCCTTTCCAGTTGAGCTACTGCTCTTCTTTCGGGTCTTGGGTTCTGTCCTGGGCTTGCTCAATGTTGGAGCCGGAGTTAGCAGCTTGGGTGCATCTTCCAGATCTGGATGGGGGTGTTGTTTCTCAGGTTGGTGGTCTCACCTTTTGGTGAAGCCATTCTCGGCTCTCACCCTCTGACCTCCCCTGTGAGTTTGTGTTACTCGGTGAGCCGTCGGAGCGTGGAGGGTTGGGTCTTCCCCGGTGGTTGCGGCTGGGAATCGGTTTTCTCCGTAGAGATGTGTGGCTCCCGTGGGATCTTCTCCTCTGCTGCGATTCTGATCTCGCTCCCTCAACTTCCTCTGCCTTTTCAGCTTGGAGCATCCGTTTCTTTTCCTCCTCCACCGCCATGCAATCTTATTTTTAGGATTCACTGTGTTGGATGCCATTGAGTTATCTCCGGGAGGCGGCAAATGGTTTGATGATGATCACTTGCCATGGAGTTTGATTTGATCGGACAAGCTGTTTTTGATCTTGTTGTACTTTGAATGGTTGGGTGCAAGAGGGTTTCCGATGAGCTGTTTTCATTTTCGAGGGTTTTGCTCTCTTGGACGGCTGCTTTCAGGCTGTGTTTCGCTCTTGTTTGCTGCATTTGCTCAACATAGTTTGTTTGTAACTGTGTTCCTTGGGGTTTCCTCTTGTTGGAACCAGAATGTTGGTTTCTGTCTCCCTCTTTGTAACTGACTAATTAAAGTGCAATAAAGATTCCCACTTGTCAAAAAAAAAAACAACATTTCTGGGAAGCTTCTTCTGAATTCGAATATGGACCGAGGATACTGCAGCAGAGCTTGTAGTACTTTTCAATATGGCCTAACCCTAATCCGATTGGGTAAAGAATAAGTTACAGACCAAACTCAGAATTTAAATCAAAACATGTATAACTCATACACCACCTTTCAGTCGACTATAAATTGTTAATTATTATTCCTGAATGTCGTTTTGTTAATAACGTAGTGTTAGTGCATGTCAATGGGCCAATTGTATTAAAGGCTTAATTAGCCCATGCAGCCCGCCAACGTTGATCCATGTAGAAGACGTTCGTGTGTGCTAGGGTTTGTAGTGTGGTAGTTTGATATAAGGGCAGTAGCTCACGTCTGTAATTCTTTATCGAAACAGCAGTAACATCAGTAGCTGAAGTGCATTCAAGCACTTCCGTGGATTAGTCCTGGAATTCCAGGGATACCACGTAAATCCTGTGTCCGATTCCATTTTCGTTATAGTTTCAATCTCTGTTCAGTTAACGTGGTATCAGAACCTCCATCAATTGATTCCGATCGTCCGTCTGTTCGTCAGTATTCAACCAACTATGCTCTCTGGGAATTTCAGTTCCGAGTTTTTGTTGAAGGGAAAGGTTTACTTGGTGTTCTTGATGGAACGCAGCCCAAGCCTGAGGAAAATTCCGCATCTACACAAGCCATTGCAACGTGGAACCAAAATGATGCCCGCATACGATCGTGGTTACTCAATTCTGTAGATCCCTCCACCTGTCTCAGTCTACGGTCGTACCCATTTGCCAATCGGATGTGGAAACATCTCTCGGTAATGTATTCGACTGCTAATGCAGCTCGTCAATTCGAGATTCAACTCTCTTTGTACCGTTTGGAACAAGGAGATCGCACTGTTTCTGAATACTTTAATGCTGCTCAAGAGCTGTGGACGGAACAAGATCTACTCCACGCAGCTCTACGACCTCAAGCTGTTCTCACTGAAGATGCTATTGCGGAGAGGATGCAAACCCGACTTCTGAATTTTCTGATGAAATTACGCTCGGAATTTGAATCTGTCAGAGCCACGTTGCTCAATCGCGATATTCTTCAATTTGATGGACTAATTGGGACTCTTGTAAGGGAAGAGACGAGGCTGAGAACCCAGGCAACCATTGATATGCGACCTGGGGAAGGAGAGACTCTCGTGGCTGCAACTGCTTCACACGGACAGCTGGGTTCAGGACATGATCTATCGGTGAATGCGGTGGGTAGACCACTATTCCAACGACGAATTCCCGCTGCCGATCTTGAATGTCACCACTGCCGAGAAAGAGGCCATGTTCAAAAACATTGTAGGCGAAGGAATTTTTGTGTCTATTGTAAGAGAATGTGCCATATTATTCTTGATTGTAAAACGCGTGAGAGGAATGCTGCCCGTGAAGGAAATCATTAACGGGGTGCTCCTGGTTCCTATCCACCTCGATTTGGATATAATTCTCATGCTGAACGTCCAACATATGGCGCCTATCCTGCTGACGACGGAGCCCACTGGAGATCAGCAGCTGCACGTGATCATTGGCGGCCGGCAGCGCGTCATGCTCCAGCGCCGGGGGAGGCCAGCTCCAGCCGATGCAATTTTGCTGCTCCTGTTCGACATGGACAGGCTGGGGAAGCTGGGTCGGTGGTTGGTAGTGTGACTTCGGAAGCTGTTGAACAAATTGTTAATTCAGCCATAAATGCAGTCTTTCCGACACTAAATGGTTCACGTAAGCCTCGTACACCCTGGCTTCTAGATTCATCATGTTACAATCATATGACATGCGATTCCCATAATTTAAAAAATGCGTCACCAGTGGAAAATATGGATTTAATGGTGGCTAATGGATCGAAATTGAAAGTCCATGGTGTGGGTGATGTCGAGACCAAAGGAGTGACTTTGCATAATACCTTGCACGTTCCTGCTTTAGTCCCTAATTTAGTTTCTGTTGGTCAGCTTACTGAGCAAGGTTATACTGTGTCGTTTGCTCCGTCTGGTTGTCTTGTGCAGGATTCGATGACGGGGAGGCAGATCGGAAGGGGGAGTAAGTAAGGTCGGCTTTTTCATCTTGAGGAACTACATGTGCAACCTATCTCTTCTAGTGTCAGTAGTTCATTAAATAGGTCTGTCAGTAGTCCTGTGTCTTCCAGTTCTTGTTTGGCAGTTTCAAATTCTTCAAATAAATTGTAGGAACTTTGGCATGCCCGGTTGGGGCATCCCCAGTCTCGTCGTCTTTCTGTTATGTTCAAACAATCTTTGCTTGGTACTCAAAATGTTAGCATTCCTGATTTGCACTCCTGTACCAGCTGTGTTGAAGCCAAAACATCGAGTATTTCTTATCCTCCTAGTACTTCTTTTATTCATGAACCTTTTCATGTGATACATATTGATCTTTGGGGACCTGCCCCTACTGTCTCGCGTCATGGTTTTAGGTACTTTGCACTCTTTATAGATCATGCAACTCGTTACACCTGGATTTATCTTTTTCGCCTCAAATCTGAACTTCGTGACGTGGCCGTTGAGTTTTTAAATATGATTCAAACTCAATTTGGCAAACCGGTCAAAATAATTCGTTCGGATCCCGGAGGAGAGTTTAGTTCTTTTCCTCTGCGCGAAGAGTATCGCTCTCGTGGTATTTTGAGTCAAAAATTGTGTCCTGGCATTTCTCAGCAAAATGGTCTTGTCGAGCGCAAAAATCGTCATGTAGTTGAGTTAACTAGAGCCCTGTTGTTAGCGTCCTCTGTCCCTTCCAGGTTCTGGCCAGAGGCGGTTGTCACTGCAGTTCGTTTAATCAACTACCAAATAACTCCGATCATCGAAAATCAGAGTCCTTTTTTCAAGTTGTTTGGTCGTCATCCTGATTATTCTCGTCTTCGCGTGTTTGGTTGTCTGTGCTTTGTTCTCCTTCCTAAACGGGAACGAACCAAACTGTCATCTCGCACTACTAAGTGTGCCTTTATGGCCTATAGTGATGTTCATAAAGGGTATATGTGTTATGATCGTGTAGCTCAGCGCAGAGTAGTTAAAATCCCGATTTAAATCCTAAAATCCTACGCTTTTACAATCTTACTTACCTATTCCGATTCTGATTTCACTATAAAATATATGGACCTTAAAATCCTACACTATTCACGATTTAAATCCTTAAAATCTTTAAAATCTCACGATTTTACTATTCAAATTTTTGAGTCAATTTTACTTATTTTCCCTAGAATTTGCAAAATTACGCCTCTTTTTCTTCTCCTCCACCAACATCATCTAGTTCTCTCACACTAACCACCATGGACTATAATAAATTCACATCAACGTATTAATCTCATCGATTCACCACCTCTTAACATTAATCTTGATAAATTGGAACATTAACTTTGAAAATTTATCATTGTAAGTGTTATGTGCTTTTGTGTTATTCATGATTTTCCTTACTGATATTATTCCGTCTTGATTTTATTATGGACCTTAAAATCCTACGATTTTACGATTCCGATTTTACCCTCATTTTCGATTTTACATAAAATCCCGATTTTGACTGCTTTGGCTCAGCGTACTTGTGTTGCTAGCACCGTGGTGTTCTTTGAAAATATGCGGTTTTTCGAACATGAGTCTACTTCCGAGTCAGTCTTTCCCCTGTCTGGTGTATTGCCCAATGCCCATGTTCCATGATGATGCCGCTCCTACTGATGATCATTTGCTTGATCTCCCTCCTACCGATCTTGACTCCCCAGGTTCATCTCCTGTCCATCCATCCTCGGCTGGTTCAACTTCTTCTTCCAGCTCGGCAGGGAGCTCCTCAAGCAACTCGGCTGACTCCCCTCCTACAGCTCCAACCGCTCCCTCGGCAATTCCTCCTCACCGTTCACTTCGTTCAAACAAAGGTGTTCCTCCTATCCATTTTGATGATTATCATGCATACGGAGTTGATACATTGGTTATTCCAACTCGGTATAAGGATGCACAGAGTGATCCTCGGTGGGAGGAAGCAATGGGGAGTGAATTTGATGCTCTCCATGCGAATCACACTTGGGATGTCGTTGACCGTCCTGCTCCTGATACTCCCACAGTTGGAAGTCGGTGGGTGTATGCAATTAAGATGCACCCTGATGGAACTATTGAGCGCTTCAGGGCCAGAGTTGTTGCTTTGGGATATACTCAGGAGCACCGGGTGGACTATAATGAGACATTTGCTCCTGTAGCTCGTATGTCGAGTGTTCGGACTCTACTGGCTGTAGCATCTATGAAGAATAGGTCATTGTCTCAACTCGATGTGAAGAACGCTTTCCTGCATGGGGATCTAGATGAGGTAATTTACATGGAAAAACCTCCAGGATATAATGTAGGGAAGCCAGGACAGGTATGCAGACTTCGTCGATCTCTATATGGTTTGAAACAAGAGCCATGGGCGTGGTTTGAAAAATTTCAAGGCACTCTAACAGGTTTTGGCTACTGTCAAAGTCTGAATGATCCTTCCCTATTTATCAAGATCACTTCAAGAGGTATAGTTCTTCTCCTACTGTATGTCGATGATATGATCATCACAGGATCTGATTCGGAAGGGATTAGGCTGTTGAAAGAAGGGTTGCAGGTAACTTTTCGAATTAAGGACCTGGGCAAGCTTTCTTATTTCCTGGGTCTCGAAGTTCTACGTTCTGACACAGGAATCTTCTTATGTCAACAAAAGTACATCACTGACCTGTTGGGTGATCACAACATGGAAGATTGTACACCAGTAAGTACTGCAATGGAACTCAATTTGAAGTTAAGCAAGGAGTCAGGAGAAAAGATAAAGGATGGTGCACAGTATCGAAGTATTGTTGGTAGTCTGATATACTTATCGGCTACTCGACCTGACATTTCTTATGCAGTGCAGTTGGTTAGTCAGTTCATGGCAGATCCTCGGACTAAACACTTGCTGCAGTCTATCGTATACTGAGATATTTGCGTGGAACCAAGGAGCTGGGCCTCATGTTTCCATCGTCTGGGAAGGCTATGCTGTGAGCATATTCAGACTCTGATTATGCAGGTTGTGTTGATACTCGACGATCCACTACAGGTTGGTGTGTTCAGTTCGGGAATTCTTCTATCTCGTGGAGGTGTAAGAAACAAGACAAGGTATCTAAATCTTCTACAGAAGCTGAATACCGGGCAATGTCGGATGTGACTTCTGAGCTAATCTGGATGAGACATTTGTTACGCGACATGGGAGTTGAGATTGCTGGTCCGATGGATCTGTTTGTTCACAACACGAGTGCTATTCGTATAGCCAAGAACCCTGTGTTGCATGATCGAACCAAGCATATAGAAGTGCATGTGCATTATGTACGGGATGAAGTCAGGGATGGAACAATTGCTCTACACTACGTTAGAACTGAAGATCAGGTGGCTGATATGCTTACAAAGTCCTTTTCTACGAGCCGACATCGTTTACTGTCTAACAAATTGATGCTTGTGACCCGGCATCAATTTGGGGAGGCTGCTGATTATTATTCCTCAATGTCGTTTTGTTAATAACGTAGTGTTAGTGCATGTCAATGGGCCAATTGTATTAAAGGCTTAATTAGCCCATGCAACCCGCCAACGTTGATCCATGTAGAAGACGTTCATGTGTGCTAGGGTTTGTAGTGTGGTAGTTTGATATAAGGGCAGTAGCTCACGTATGTAATTCTTTACCGAAAACAGCAGTAACATCAGTAGCTGAAGTGCATTCAAGCACTTCAGCTCCGATTCAATTCACATCGAACACTTTTTATTTTTTGGTTTCACTATCAATGGATGTTACATTTGAACAAAAACTTCTACAATCGTACAAACATCCTCACTATTCATCCCTCTTCCCCGCCGGCCATACCCAGAATGAAATGAAAAAACAAAATTGCAATCAGATCCAACCCAGGTGAAAAACATTATATAAATAAAAGTAAAAATGAAAAAGAAAAACGTCAATTACGTACATTTGTCAAGGGTAGAAAAGCTTGGCAAAAAGGAGCTCATTCCAGGTATCCTGAAGCCCCGGGAGGCACCAATGGACGCAGTCGGCGTAGGTAGCCGGGTCGGCCAGCTGCTCCGCCGTGAGTGGGGTCCACTGCTTCTTGTAGATGGAAGTGTGGGCGTCTTTCCGGTAGTTGGACAGCTGGGTTATGTTGAGGAACGTCACCGGATATTTGGATTTCCCAAACTCCTCTCCGATCACCCGCATTATGCTTCTCCGGCTGTCGGAACCCCAGTACGTCGCGTTGTTGATCGGCGCCGTCTCGTTGTAGCAGTTCCTCCCGGGCTCGCCTCCCCAGTCACCGCTCCTGTTTAGCAGAACATCACGTTACGAAAACATTTATTATATAAACAACCAACATTATATAAACACTTGGTTCACTAATTTGAATTGTTTAGGAAAATGTTGCATGGTTGTTAATCATCTCAAACGATAACCAACTTATAGGTTTGAATTTTGTATATGTGCTTTAAAGAATGGTTTGATATTGAGAGTCATTAGTATTTGAAAGCAGGAGTGTACATAATCGGTTGGTTATGATTTAGTGATTTTAATTACCCTCTCATGTAGAACGATTTTGAAAACACTAAATCAAAATCCAACCAAATAATTTAGAACCCTAGAGGTTTGTATAATGTTGGTTGGATTTGGTTGGTTATACTTTTAAGTAAAAGTGTAAAACCAATCCAACAAAAGTACAAAAAAAAAGTAATTTGCACCGTAAAACAAAAGACTATAACTATCAAATTGATGTTTATTTTTCATTTGAGAAATGCTTTAGTTAGCGAGACTGCGAGAGAAAAATATGATGATATTTTATAACTTTCTCAAAAATATGGTTTATACATGACACAAACATGTTTTTGGATACCAACACTAAGAAAAATAGTTGTAACATGTGGGTTAGGTCGGATTCTACGGATTGCATAATTTAAAATTCGCATCCAATCCAAAAGAAACAAGTTCCACTAAATGAAAACCATTACCCAATGTTAAATCTTATTTTGAGGGATAAATACAGGTGTGCTGGGCGGGGTTGGATGGGTGATTCGGGTTGTGATTGTTGTTTTTTTTTTTCTCATCCCTACTTGAAACGTGATCTCAACGACAAACTAGCTCTGATATCATGTCAAGAATCAGTTGATTTCAATAATTCGAGTTATTAGAATAGACTTTCGTTAACCAATTAGTTAAGACAATATTTGGATGATGAACTTACTTGCCGTGGGTAGGGGACATGCTAGTAAAGAAAACCCTCGTCCTCCTGGGATCCATATTCTTCCTCGCCCACCTCATCATGCTCCGCATCGCCATCCCATACGCATCCTCCGTCGTCACCTCCACCACCTCCTTCTCCTCGCCGTCGAACGAGCCACCTTGCAGAACCTTCATCGTCAGCCCCGTCATCCACCAGAGGTAAGTGTTGAAGACCACGACGTCGGCGCCCTTCCAGTGGCGGCCGTGGACGTTGATGGATCCCCGGCGGACGACGCGGTCGGAGATCCGGTGGACGACGGCGTCGTCGGAGTTGGACTCGAGGAGGAAGGGCGCCCAGTAGAACTCGACGGTGGCGTTGTAGTCTTTGGCGGTGAAGACGGTGAGGGAGCCGGAGGTTTGCATGGATTTGGCGGAAGAGGAAGGGATGAGGCGGTGGAGGAGGCAGACCATGGAGGTGAACTGGCCGCGGTTGAGGGAGTCGCCGACGTACATCATCCGCTTGCCTCGTAGGGTTTCCAGCATCAACGTCGCGTTGAAGCTGCATATGATGTTAATTAATATCACATGAGTGAAGAGCTTTAATTTTCTTCTAGGCAATCTCTCATTAATCAATCAAATAATTTGTTCACACAATCAAATTAACCTCACAAACCAATCACATATTCTTATGACCACAGAATAATACTTATTTTCCAATTAGATTTTTTTTTTTTGGTTGGGCAAGTCGTCGGACTAATATCTCGATACTCGTACCCGTTCCGTGATAGGCCGCGTATTTTGTTTTGGGACGCACGTAGGATAGGGTCGATTTATATGTGTATGTAATATCGAATAAACAGTTGAAGAATTTATTTATTTTTTTCTTTAATAAGTCGAGAACCAAATTATGACATGATAAATATAGCTAAATTATTATTTTTCCTCTCGTAAATAGCTAAATTATTCACGAGGTTGAGTATTTCACCTATTTATTATAGTTAAAATATGATAGATGTAAAATGTTTAGTAATTTGAGTAAAATGAGATATAATTTAGACACAACGAGTCGAGAATGAGATGAGTCAGGTTGAGAAGAGTACTCTAGTTTGCCTTGCCCCACCTACCAGATTGGTATTCTCCACCCAAAACAAGTGAAACAAATCGTGTAATACAAGTAAGGTGGAAATTTCCATCTTAATAATGCCGATGAAGGTATAAGTTATAACCACCATGTTATTATAGTTACAAATCAATTAACCAAGGAAACAAATATATATATACGTTTACCAAAAATATATATCTAACAACGTATTGATTGAGTTTAACGTCGAATCGAAATATCATATCAGCAGTGGAAAATTGGAGTGATTTTTGGAAGGATCTTCATCATAATTACCAGAATTCGACAGGTGGCGGTGGGGACGGAACGTGTTACGTTGATAGCAGTTGATCGATCAAGGTAACTGAGTAATTAATCATTATTATGTATAATAATTATAGAATTTTCACTCGAAATGATGGGGAATTAACAAACAAGCTAGGGGAATTAGGGAGCCGAAAATGGATGATTAAGAGCAGCTTACGCACCTGGGGAGATCACAGCCATGGGGCTGCCACCTCCAGAACTGGTAATCCTTATCTGGACGGCCCCGCTCCTGACACGTCAGCTGGGGCTGGATGTACGGACACTCCGATTCCTGGTACAGCGGCCGAGTCGACTCGTCCCAAACCCACCTCCCGCTGAAGTAATCGCACCCTTCCGGCCGCTTCCCCAACGCAAACGCCGCCTCCTCCTCCTCCTCCTCCCGCTTCTGCTTCCTCTCCGTCCCGCCGCCACGGGGAGAAGGGCCCACCGGTGCGACGTCGTCTTGAGAGTAGAAGTCGAGCTGGCCGAGGAGGCAGGTGAAGTCCTCGCCGTAGAGGGTCACGACGAAGACGATGAAGGCGAGGAGCGTGATGAGGAAAGGTGACAGGCCGCGAGCCTTTCTCATGGAAAGAAGAGAGGTGGAAGAAGAAGGAGACATTGGAGTCTTCATTTCCTGTTAATTAATTCCCTCCTCAACTATAACGCTGAAGAATGGTGTTCTTTAGTTTTGAGAGGCTCGTGTACTGGTTTGGATGAATGTGAAAGAAGCTATCATCGTACCAGTCAGCTTTTATTAATGCCGTACAGGGAGGGGTAAAACTTATTGAGTGGAATCTGTTCCTTGTAATTTAAGTTTTTTTGTTTTTGTTTTGTATAGTCTTCCTTGTATGGCAAGATAGGGGGAAATACGTACGTTGACTAATTTTATAGGGGGGAATATGGATTATTATTTAATTATGGGCTTCCATCATGTTTTTAACATTGGTTTAATTTGATTATTAGAGCCATAAGTTCATCATAATTCAAACTTTACTTGCATTTCACTTCATGCGAGCTACTTAATTGGAGTTTAACAAGGACTATAGTCTTGCTACGAGCTCAGAATAATATATGTGCATATACTGTATACATGCATTTGTTAACCACTAAAAGTGACGTAAAAATCACTCTAACCAACACTTTATCTATCTATTTTCTCAACATATTATGCTAGTACAATATCATTCAGTAACTTCTTCCTCAAACATGAAATCCTCTATATAAAACAAAAAAAGGAGTTGTGGCATGACATCAATGAGGGAAATGATGATGAGAAAACAATGGTGGAATGAAAATGTCACTTGGCTTCTAAGTAAAGTAAACTGTCTCGAAAGCTCCCACATCATTGTCTCACTTTGTGAGCCGATTGATTGTTTTCTTCTTCTTCTTCTTCTTCTTCTTCTTTTTTAGGGTTTTTTTTATCTTTCACCAATAGTTAAGGAACAAACCAATTAAGGAGTGAGGGATGCCAACTGCCAAGCCAAATATATAGAGTTTCTACCTTCTTTAGCAAAATTGAAGAGATGCGTTTTAGGTGTGAGGGTTTGGTAGAATTTCAGCTTCAAAGTGGTTGGCCATTGTTTGTTTACTTGGGATCCAATGTTTTGTGTACCCTTAACTAATGAGGATGAGGAAATTAGCTGTTGCAATGATTCTGTTGAAAAACATAGATATATAAGTTTTGTTATTTTAAATAAGAGTGACATAGTATTAATTTAAATAGAAAATTAGGAATTTACAAGAACTAAATATCTCCAGGGAAAGCACACTAAAAATAAAGCGTACTGCAATGGCAAAATAAAAATAAAAATCCAATGCAGTAACAAACCGTGATTATTAATGGTAACAAACAACCAAACTAGGTGTAGAGTTCATGCTTGAAGCTTAACAAACAATGATTATTAATGGTAACAAACAACCAAACTAGGTCTAGTGTTCATGCTTGAAGCTTAACCCTATCAGTGATAATGCGGTAATACGAAATAATATCGTACATTCACCGCATCTCGAATTATTTCTCATTAGTAGACCACGGTCATTTGTTATAAAATGAAATGAGAAATTTATCTCATCCTAAGTTTGAACTGTTATACCAATAATATTCATCATTTTTCATAGTTATAGATTCTCATTTCTAAATATCCAGTGTTAAGCAAATATTACCATCCTCATATTATCACGATCCATTTCATTTGCATTTAGTTTCCTATAGAAAAAAAAATTGACCTTGTTATTGTTTTTCTAGTACCTTAAATTTGGACTTACTTAAGATCTTGTCTTTTTAATAGTAATTGACATCTTGTATTAGAGAAGAGAGTAGGGTATAATTGACTTCCCTTTTTTTTTTATGAAACTTATAATGCTTCACTAAGTGGCCCAAAGCAAAATCATTTGATGGTGTACGTTCTAACTAACACATGCTATAGCTAGCTAACCATGGATTAGAGTTGAATTTGATACTTGAATCTTAATGAATTAAACAGCTAGCTCAATTATAGGTTTAAAATTAGTAAATTACCATTTTTTATATATAAAAATGGAATCTAAGTGGAATTTTGATTAAAGAAAACCTACCAATCGAGCTCCTTGTCTGACGTGATGATATAATTGACTCTTTGAGACTGATAGGCCATCAGTTCAAGAGTCAAGAGGACAGCTCAATTTGGAGATGATGCTTTCTAATAAGGATAAAATGGTCATTCGGATGCTCATAGCCTTAAGGACCTACTAGTATCAAGGTTAGGTCTGAGGGAATCCCATCAACGTGACGTTAGGTCAAGAGAATCTCTGTAAGAAGTGAGGGATGAAGCATCAAAAGGAGTTTTATGAAGCTATGGCCTGAGGTCATGAATCTTAACACCCAAGTAACATATGATGAAACAATGTCGATTGAAAAGAACAGAGCGACTTCGTTTCTAGATTTTCCGGTGAACGAATTTGGATAGAATGCTTACGCAGTGGGCAATATGCCCTTTGCTTACACCGTTCGGTCGCTCATCTGTGCATTTGACGTCGTTGGATCAACAAATTGACATTTTTGTGTATAAAACCTACGCTTTCATCTAACGGCTGAAAATACGTGTGGGTGGGCAATTGGGACGGTGCAAGCATGGGCATGCACCTAGCCCTGTATGCACGATAGTCAAATTGGGAATGAAATGAACTATGTGCTAAAATGAGATGGGTACATGGTATGTATTAGAAGTCCCAAAAGCAGAGAGGGTTTCCATAGTCTACTTGTTCAAGGGAACCATAAATCTAAACCCTACCGGCCAGCTGCTTGCTATCCTTCTAGTGAAAAGAAACTACCTAACTTCGAAGTTGTGAAGAGAGTTTTGGGATGTACTTGAAAACTGCCGGTTAAAGCTGAATCCCAGATGGTGCTAAAAGTTGACAGGAGAATAGGAATCGCGATAGCTCTCTGTTGGTCCTCTGAATCTTCGAACCAAAGAAGTGAAGAAGCCCTGGAGAATCAGAAAAACAAGTGGTAATGACTCCACCAGAATTGGGTGAAGATGATTTTTGAACTACTACCAAACCGCTTGGGATAGAGAGATTTAATTACCTGTGTTCTCTGAGGTAATCTGACCCAAAAGTCCAAGTTTGGCACCACCTGATGATAATTTCAATCCAGAATGCAAATGCAATAGAAGTGTGAAATGATAAATTTGATAAGATGCAACTGAGAGATGGTTAACAATGACAAAACAGTGAACTGGTTTGTGGTAGAGAACGTACATCTAATCCACGAATCCCAAGGAAGAAATGCCGATAAACTGCACCAGCTAACATATAAGCTCCAAAAAGACACAAGACACTGAAACGATGAAGAAACCAGTTAAAGCAACGATTACATAGGTAAATACTATGCCTTTTCTCTCTCTCCTTGATACGGAGAGGGGTTCTGCTAAGAAGAAAGAGACAGATAGCAGATGAATTGTATAAAATAAAAAGAGAGAAACAAACATTATTATCAAGGTAGCAAACCAGCCCAATCCTTTCCCACGAACAGATATAACTGTAGCACACCCAGATGGATGCTGTAGAACTGCAGCCTGTCCAAGGACACAGATGAATAAGATCCCTTACCATAGGTTTAAGAGAAGTTGCAATTCATATTAGTTTCCAAACAACTCACATAATCACAGGTCCCTGACTTCTGCAGTCCAAGGGGGCCCTGTTAAGGTAGAAGGTTGTGGCAAGTCTCAGAGATACACAAAATGAGGAGTTTCAAGCAGATAAATATTTTGGAAAAATGTACAATGGAGTGTAGATTTCCAAAGGAAAAACTTTCTTACTACGAGTCCAGACGAGTTACAGATGACAGAGACAGAGAGTGAGCAGTTTTCCTTAGTATCAAGACTTGAGATCTTAACAATGACACCCTTCTGCGGATTTTGTTTATCTGCAATGTAAATGTATGTAGAGAGTAGTCCTTTCAGATGTAAATATGGGGATAAATAATTAGCTAAAAGACATGCTCTTATTAATGATTAAAAAAGCAATTTACCCATGATGTCAGAAGAAGTGTTAGAAACGCCGCCAATAGTGCTGCATACTTCATAGCCTGTATGTATGAGACAAAACTAGCTAATTTCTTTACTTATCTGATGTGGACTCACAAGCATAGGGCAGACTTTAAAACCGTGGTATTAGGTTAGGCCTTAAAGTGGAGGGAAAAACGAAACCAGTTGTTTCACATATTTCCTGATTTTGGATTTCTAAAGCAAGGATGAAAAACTTCACATGACCATTTAGGAATATGCTCATTCTGCATAGTGCATACTGATGCTAAGAAAAAACCTTGCCCTGATCTTGAAACAACTTTTATTTCTTATTGGTAGTATCAAGAAGTTGCTTAAACAATAATCTTCTATAACATACAGTGATACAGTTACAGCTACATCTTTTAACGTACACAGATATTATCCATGCTCAACTAACAATGGCACCAACACACATGATTATGGAAGTTTCAAGCAAACGTGGAAGAACACATCCATGCACATTGGAAATACCGAAATAGAATTTAATTTCACGTGTATAAGTGTAGCATTTACCGCCAACATTATTAGCAACAAGTGCACTACATCCACTGCCACAGTGAGATGGCCCACCACAATCCTGCATTACCGATAATATGGTGAGAACAATTTCACTAATAAAACAGACTGGGATAGAAACAAATAGAAATCTGGTCTTCCTAGTGGTAGAAGAAAAGCTGCCTGTCAGATGCGCATTAAAATGAGTGAGAATCTACCAACTTAAAGCCCAGACATTCCACAGGAAAGGTAGAACCACCAACAGGTATGGAACACTTCAATTGCTAGGCCCTTTCATTGTGAAAGGGATTTCCATAATCTTTCCAAACATTTCTGTATTTGTCTGTCCAAACTTTTAATACTATACTAGCTTCGGTATAAACACTGAAGTTTGCACTTAACTGTGGATAGCTAAGATTACCTCATATTTTCATTTATCAAGGTGGAGAGGTTACTCTGCAACTTAAGATGCATGTGGAACGGTAAAGATACAAACTACAGAGTATTATTATTATTTCTAAATGCTCACTGCCTAATCTACCAATGATACCATTGTAGTACATAATTCATTATAAGAAGCGCTTACCTGACAGCCAACACATCTAGGTGGGTTGTGATTAAAAATCATTCCAGCACAGAGCTGCTCAAAACGATCAAACAAAACAAATTAAATGGCAAATCATCTGAAATGATTCTCAAGCCAAATAGTTTCCACAAAAGAAAATATTATCTTCAAGCTTTGCAGTTCACATGCCTTTTTTTTAAGCCTTACTAATCATGCATTTAAAAAATCAGCTCAGGCTGTTGCCTTATTGTGTCAGGTAAAAGATAGACGCAAATTCAATCTCCTAAATGCATCACTGGTCTTGGATTGGCTAGCTAATATATACAGAATCAGAAACAAAGAAACCAAAGTGTAACCTGATTGTTCCAACCTGAAACCAGAGCACACTCTCATTCTCCGCGACCTTATAGAACCTAAAAGCATCAAATAAATGAAGAGTGTTTCTTTATCAGAATCCAATCAGCACTGAGTGAAGCAGGTTTCTGGTTGAGTTATAAAATGAGTGTTTTACAAGATACCCCAATTATAGGACAAATTTTTTGCTTCCTAGAGCTGAAAATGGCATGAAACTGCTTCGTTGAAAATTCAGAATCCTTAAAGTCACATTTACCATTCCATACGATGCACTAAGTATACATTAAATCCACAAACTTGTGCGTCAACCATTGACAGAAATGCCTTTCATTTGCCTACAAAATCTTGAACCCCATACTCATAGCAACAGTTCTAGCAAAGGCCAAACAATTTTCAGGTAGAGGCCTTACTAACTAGTTGCGCTCAAACGCATATGACCTAAGCCAATATCTTATACAGCATCCTCATTAGTGCAGTAGTTAATACTACAGTGACCCCACCCCAAAACAAGCCGAATGTAAGTGAAGTGATACCCAGTGAAGCAATATGTCGAACACAACGAGTGCAAAAACATAGAGACCGATACTGCCCACTGAAGCAAATGAAAAGAGATTTCAGAAAGTCAGTGTACCCATCTTCGCTGAGGATGCCGTGGGGGAATCCCGCGATAGGAGCAGTCAAGCTGAAGTTGAAAATCTGGCGGCCGTCGAAATAACTGACATCGCAGAGACCGGCCGAGGCGGAGTGGAACGACAACGCGAGAACGAGCAGATGAATCGCGATTAGCGAACGTCTCAAGGAATCGATGCATATTCCCATAGTTTCCGGCCTTCTGGGTAGCGTAAAAGATGTGGATTTTCAGCACATTGCTGCCCGGAGAAGGCGAGAAGCTCCGGAAGCAGGCGTCTGGGTTAGGAAAGTCAGTACCGGACTTTCTTCCTCGGCCGACGAGTGCTAAATTTTCCAGGAAATTGCCAAGTGCCCCACCGATTTTGTCTTAATTATCAAAATAAGGACAAAAAAGAATGGACTTCTTGAATCTTGAGGCCAGCCCGTGGGCTAACGGTGGTCCTTTCTGTAAAATGGGCCGTGGGACAAGGCCCATCTGTCCTCTCCAGTCTCCCCAAGACGTTAATGGCGGGCGGCAACGGGGGTTAAGGAAAGGGAAAAGCAACCGAAGAAGAAAGGCGCCGCTTTTCTGCCGACGAACGATGGAATCGCCGAACCCAAACAGAGCGTTAACGAACACTCGCTTCTCTGACCTAAATCCGGCGCTCTCCGATCCGGTCCTCGATGCCCTGAAAGAAGGTGGGTTCGATTATTGCACGCCGGTTCAAGCTGCTACCATCCCCTTGCTATGCGGCTACAAGGACGTCGCCGTCGACGCCGCCACCGGCTCCGGCAAAACCTTGGCTTTCGTTGTCCCGCTCGTTGAGATTCTCCGCCGGGTCTCTCCTGCCCCCAAACCTCAACAGGTGAGTTTCCCCTGCTCCCAGGAGTGTCGTTTCTTATGTAGCTCAACTCAACTGTTAATGCTAATTGCAAGAGTAATGGAGAAATAGCTATACTTAAGTTGGTTAATAGTTCAGGTACTTGTTGATGTTCAATCAGTGGTATTTTCGTTCTACTCACAGGTACTGGGAATTATAATCTCACCCACGAGGGAGTTGTCATCACAAATATATCATGTTGCACAGCCTTTCATTGCCACTTTATCAAACTTGAAGTCCCTTCTCCTTGTTGGGGGAGGGGATGTGAAGGCTGATGTGAAGAAAATAGAAGAAGATGGAGCTAATTTATTGATTGGGACGCCCGGTAGGTTGCATGATATAATGGAGCGGGTTGATGACTTGGATTTTCGGAACCTTGAGGTATGGAAATCAACTGCAAGGATTTGGAACTGTGTATTGGCCCGGGTTTTTAATGATATTGTGTTACTAAATGGTGTAAATGAGACAGCTTTCTTGCGGATGTGTAAACTTCGTTTTGCTACTCGGTGGAGCAGGTATTGATTTTAGATGAGGCTGATAGGCTATTGGATATGGGGTTTCAGAAGCAGCTAAATGCTATTATATCCCGGTTGCCAAAGCTTCGAAGAACTGGTCTTTTCTCCGCTACGCAAACTGAGGCAGTTCAAGAGCTGGCCAAAGCTGGACTTAGGAATCCTGTAAGAGTTGAAGTTCGAGCGGAAACGAAGTCATTGGGTGATTCAGGGTCATCTCAACATTCAGCTTCTTCCAAGACGCCATCTGGGCTTCACCTTGAGGTATGCTGCTGCTTGCCCCTTCTGTTCAGCCTACCCTTAACTTTGATGTATGGTTTGTTTGAAAATAACTGGTGTATCTGTCTTTATGCAGTATTTCGAGTGTGAAGCAGATAAAAAACCATCAGAACTTGTTGATCTTCTTGTTAAGAACAAGTCTAGAAAGACTATAATGTGAGTTCTCGCTGTATTTTTCAAAAGGGTGACTAAACAGCAAACTCAATATCGAGGTTGACATGGGTTTCTACCTAACAAGGTCTTTAAACTCTGTAGATACTTTATGACATGCGCTTGTGTTGATTACTGGGGAGTTGTTCTTCCTCAACTCTCTGTTTTAAAGGGCCTCTCTTTAATTGCTCTTCATGGGAAGATGAAGCAGGTAAAAATGTTTACTGTAGATTCTAGCCGATTCACTTTCACTTTCACAAGGCTATAAGTCAATAACACTATTTTGCCCTAACAGAATGCTAGAGAAAAAGCATTGGCGAAATTTACATCCCTTACAAGTGGCGTTCTTCTGTGTACTGATGTTGCGGCACGAGGGCTCGACATCCCAGGTGTTGATTATATAGTGCAGGTAATATGAACTGCTCAATTTGGTCTGCTGTCTATGTTGAAGAGAAATCCTTCTTTCTAAGAAGTTCCCTTCATATTTGTTTCTGCAGTATGATCCCCCACAAGATCCAAATGTATTCATCCACAGAGTTGGTCGAACTGCCCGTCTGGGTAGACAAGGACATGGCATCGTTTTTCTATTACCTAAGGTGTGGTGCACAATTGTCTAGTTATACTAAGATTGAGTCACATTGATACTTCACTTTCCCTTCATGGAGGGCTTCCATATATAATTAAGTTACCTATTTCAGGAGGAAGCCTACGTCGAATTTCTGAAGATTAGAAGGGTTCCTCTTGAAGAGAGGAAAAGTATCGATGATGTCCCGGATGTCGTGTCTCAGGTATTCGTTTCTGAAGAAATTAAGTAATTAATGAATGGCCATGGTTAGAACCTTGGGCTGACTAACCTAATTATTTCCTGCTCTTCTTTATTAGTTTCTTTTATTATTTCCTACTTCAGATTCGATCTGTTGCCAGAAAGGACCGTGACGTTATGGAGAAAGGACTGAGAGCATTTGTCTCATTTGTCCGTGCATATAAAGAACATCACTGTTCTTTTATTTTCAGGTTGGCAATGTATATCATGTCTCAAACTGTGTCTGTATCTGAACTTTTCTTCTGGACGTCTACTGCCCTTAAATTACAGAACTACCTATGTTTTGAACTTGCGATTGACTAATTTAGGTGGAAAGAACTCGAAGTTGGGAAATTGGGCATGGGATTTGGGCTATTACAACTTCCTTCAATGCCTGAAGTAAAGCATCACTCCCTCTCCACTGAAGGTTTCGTTCCAGTTGAAGACCTCAAATTGGGGGAAATAAAATTCAAGTGAGAATCTTGTCCTATCTTATCTTGTTTTGCAAGACTGGCTGATTACGAGTTTCGTCAACCAAATTCATATGTTAGGGGTGTTGATAGTAGTTAATCATGTGTAGGGATAAATCTCGAGAAAAACAAAGGAAGAAGAATTTGCAAGCAAAGAAAGAAGCAAAGCAAAATGAAGACAAACCTCAGAAACCCAAAAGGAACCCTGATGCTGCAGCCCCAGCCATGAGGAAGAAAACAGCTAAGCAAAGGCGTGCGGTCCAGACAGCGGAAGATGAAGAGGAGCTAGCTCGTGAATACCGTTTACTTAAAAAGCTGAAGAAAGGGGCTATCAACGAAGATGAATTTGCAAAGCTAACAGGAACAGAAGAATTAACTTGAAGTGTATGTCCTGGCTGGTTCTGTTAACATCGGCACTTGCCTCCTTGGTGTTCGGAAAGGCTCTTTAAAATTGCAAGAAAAAACTTGGGCAGTAGCAGGACGGGTCTAAAGGTTTGAGAAGGGAGTACAACTCCCAAATGAGCAAGTCGGCTGACAGAAGCTATACACTAACACTGCGAGAGAAGTATAATTTTGTATAGTCCTCAATCATCGAGGATTTGCAGTCTAGTAGAAACTCTTGAGAGACTGTAAGAAGTAGGACTGGTAAACGGTTTTGCGTTAACCGGTTACCGTACCGGTAACCGAAATTGACGGTATTCGGCTGGGGAATATTGGCTGGCGGTATGCCAGGATTGAAGTTGTAGGTTACCGTCGCCGGATCGGTATTCCGACACCGACTGGGAAATCAAATAAAGCATAAATTCAAGCGCCAAGGCCCAACTGCCCAAGAGTCGGCTGCCAAGCAAACAACGAAACGTCGGGCGTCGGGAACCCTAAAAACTAAAAAAGCCCTAACGAACGAGGCTATTTGCATCTCATGAGGCCTGAGTGAGTGACTGTTGCACCGTGAACGACCGCTGATCCCTCCTCCTCTGTTCATCGAATTCAAGCTCCACGCATCCACCCAGGGGCACGACGGCAACTGCAGCCCTCATCATCGTTGTCCGTTGACTGTTTCCATCTTGTCACTTGTCTCATCAATCATCATCGTTGGCTCGTTAAGCCAGTCGAACCCCGTCATCGTTGCCGTGAGAACGTCACCTTCTCCAGCTGTCCGTCCATTTTGGACTTTAGAGGTAACCTGTGGCTGTGTAGCTTTGACTTTGTCCGTCCATTTTAGACTTTATTGTTGTTTTGTTGTTTGAGAATTGCGAGCAAAGCCGCAGGAGCCAGTAGGCTCGTAAAGGAGATAGAGGCTCAGAGGTTTAGAGGTTTAATTCAATTGTTTTGTTGTTTTGTTGTTTAATTAGCTGAGTTCAGAGGTTTGAATTACAAGTTGTTTTGTTGTTTTGAAAAGGTGGTCTTCTTCCATTAGCTGACTTGTTTAATTGGCCGAGCAACAGTAGCCAGTAGGCTCCCATTCACGCATGCATTGAAAAGGTGGTCTTCTTCTATCCACAACTTGTTTTGTTGTTTTGTTGTTTGATTAGCTGAGTTCAGAGGTTTAATTCATTTGGTTGATTATTAAGTATTAACTAATAATAGTTTGCTTTTCATTTTTCATGTTAAATAGACGCTCTATCTAATTTGTACTAATTTTTGTATAATTTAGTTACTTGAGAAACCAAGTACAAAAATGTAAGAATTAATGTTTATGCCTCTTTTGCCTTTTTGGCATGTTGGCAATTTTATGCTTTTTAATTTTTTACATTTTTTCTTTTTGTTGTAGGACGAAATCTTCTCGTCCTCATAAAGGAGATGCTCCGAAAAAAGTGGTTCAATTCCTCCTCGAACCACTTCCAAAAAAGTGGGTACTCGTGTTGGAGCTGCAGAAGGGATTCAAGGGAATGTCTCATCTAGTACACCTACTAGTGGCACTGGCATTACATCTCCACCTGCAACTGCTACGCCTACACAGATGACTGATATGGGAAGGGGAGCATATGAAGTGGGTGAGGCAAAGAAAATCGTGAAGGTGACAAAAAGGAAGAAGAAGTCCCCGTGGTGGACTCCTTATGATGAGGTTCTGGTGGATAACTACCCATATGGCAAATGCAAACAATGTGGAACGTTGATCAAAGCTCACTCAATCAATAACGGGACTTCTGGTTTGAAGAACCATCACTTGGCATGTGAGAGGAAGAGGAAGGAAGCCAGTGGTCAATCACTATTGAACTATCAACCTGGGGATGGTGAGGTAGGCTCTCTTACTCCATGGAAGTTTGATCAGCAAAGAGCTAGAACTGCATTAGTTGTTATGATCATCTTGGATGAGCTGTCATTTCGCGTTGTTGAGCATGAAGGGTATAAGAGATTTATGGCGGTAACCCAACCATTGTTTGTGATACCTGGAAGACAGACAATAAGGCAGGATTGCTATATAATCTTTTTGGAGAAAAAAGAGTTGCTATCTGAAGTCTTCAAATCCAAGTGCAAAGGAAGAATTTCTATCACCACAGATACATGGACTTCTGATAACAACCAGAATTTCATGTGTGTGACTGCTCATTTCATTGGGAGTGACTGGAAGTTGCAGAAGAGGATCATTAGCTTTGTTCCCGTCACTAGTCACACAGGGAAGGACATTGCAGAAAAATTGGCAGAATGTCTACAAGATTGGAAAGCACAACTGTTGTTCTCCATTACCATGGATAATGCTTCTTCTAATAATGTTCTTGCAGAGTGTATGAGAACAAAGATGAAAGAGTGGGGAACAGATTTGGTGGGAAGTATTTTCAATTTCGATGTGTGGCACATATAATCAATTTGGTTGTGTCGGATGGGTTGAAGGAGGTTGGAGTTGTTGTAGAAAGTGTTCGAGATTGTGTTAAATGGGTGAAGTCATCACCAGGTAGAAGTGCAAAGTTTAAATCTGTCATTGATTATCTATCAATGGATGAAAGAAGACTTCTATCTTTGGATGTTCCAACTAGGTGGAACTCAACTTATTTGATGTTGGAATCTGCAGAAAGGTTTGAGACTGTCTTTAACTTCTTGCATGGAAGCCCCAATGATTATGCATTTTGGGATTATGTTGACTCAAAGAGAGGTCTTCCAACTAAGGAAGATTGGACCAGTATTCGACATCTAATGAAGTATTTGAAGTTCTTTTATGAGCTCACCTTTCGGGTATCGTGTGAACAAACATAACTCTTTTGTGATTCAACTTGTAATTCAACTCATTTGTGAATAATTTGTTGTTATTTTTGGATGTATCACAAACATCTTATGTGACTGCTCATACTTTTTTCAAGGCTACTGCTGACATCTATGAAGTGATAGAACTTTTTAAGAAAGACATGGATGTAGAGATACAACATATGGCAGCAAGAATGGAGGCAAAGGTACGAAAATATTGGTTTGAGAATGATGATGATGATGATGAAGAGGTGGAGAACCTAAGGATAAATAGGCTGGTTTAAATGGCTTGTGTGCTAGATCCTAGGGGTAAAATGGCTTATTTGTATTGGATGTGGGATAAGATGTATGGGAAGAAGAAAAGATACGGATTGGTGAAAGATGTGACTGCAGAGATGACTGCAATTTTTGAGGTTTACAGATTGAAGTATGCACCTCAACCCTCTGAGCTAACTGTTCAGACCACTCCTAGTGCTGATGATGGTACTGGATCTGCATCTTATGGAGGGACATTTGATGCTGAATTCTTCAAGATGAGAAAGGAGAAACTTCATAGGGGAATTCGAGGTTCTTCTGAGCTTGACATCTACTTAAGAGATGTTGATGATGCTATTAACGAGGATGATAATGATATGAAGTTTGACATCTTGTTGTGGTGGAGTAAGAACATCGTTAGATTTCCTATTCTTTCCCAGATGGTTAAGGATATCCTAGTTGTTCCAATCTCCTCTGTTGCCTCAGAGGCTGCTTTCAGTTGTGGAGGTCGAGTGCTCAGCCCGTTTAGGTCTTCGTTGAGCCCCACCATTGTAGAGGCCTTGATTTCTGCTGAAGATTGGATAAGGTACGAAGGAGGGAAGAAAGCAGACAAAGTTGATGATACAGAAGATGAAAATCAAGACCAAATTGATTATGAAAGTGGTAAGAATTCATAATTTCATTTATTTTTAAGTATTCCATTACTCATTTTCCGATTACATATTATTAGATGAATTCTAACAATTTGTATTTTTTTGTTACACTTAGTCACTACTAACTTCCAAGCTCGAATGGAGAGTGCTACGACCATGCCAAGTGAAGGTGTCAAACAAAGTTTACCTGTTGTGGTGGAGGAGGAAGAGGAGGAAGATTCAGACGAGGATGGGGAGGACCAGGATGAGGAGGATAATGGTGATGATAACCTTCGCACCACTTTGAAGCAGCAAGGTTTTGTTGATGTTGGTGGACCTTCGAATAAGTAATGGCGGTACAGGTCCTAGTGGCAAGTGATGAACTATTAATTCTATTTTTTATCTTCATGTCTTAAAATTTAATTTAAACATTTAGAAGCAGCAAACTAAATTGCTCTATTTGCTCTATTTGGAATTTTACGTTGTACGTAATGCACTAATGCTATAGCCTATCTATATGTGATCTTATTTTTTAGACTTTACTATTTGGCATTTTGGCTATTTGCATTTTGCAATTTGCAATTTGCTGTTTCAAATTTAATTATTGGATTTTGGGGAGTGGGGTTTTGGCGTCTGGGGATATGGAGTGGAGAGAAAGGGAAGTGGTCAAGTGACTCAAGTCTCAAGTGGCAGCTTTTGGCGATTTGCTTTTGTTGTCGTCTGCTGCTGATGGATGAACGATGATACATTATTACATTGTGTATTTGTGTATGGCTGGCGGGACAGGCGAACATCGGGCTTCACGGTTGCTCGGGATGCCTTGTCCCTTACCGACACCGAATAAATCGGTAAGCGGTATACCGAGGCCCTGCCGGTATCAGCTTGCGGCGCCAGTTTGGGTAATTTCGGTTATACCGAAACCGGTAAAACGGTAAACCGGTTACCGTACCGTTTACCAGCCCTAGACTAAGAAGCATATAGCTTGTGTATGAGTTCCAACAGACTATAGGCAATTATGTAGCTTCTGGTTCGGCAGATTTTGTTTCTTAGTATGAGTTCCAACAGAGTACAGACAATTATGTAGCTTCTGGTTCGACAGATTTTGTGCAAGAAACAAGAAGTTAAATTTCTCCAAGACAAGCTCATGAGAAAGCATCCTTGATATTCAACGAACAAAAGCTTGGTCTAGTGGTAATACCACTAGATTTGAACCTGGAGGTTCTAGTTTCAAATCCCTTCAGTAGTACCTACCTAATCAAAAAAATGATAAACCTATATCACCCTTATCTATAAAAAAAATCAACAGTATCATTTATAGCTAAAAAGTAAAACTGCTACCACCATTCAAAATTCAGCCAATTTAGGCGAGCTTTCTTTCCTCTTTCATCTTCCGTGAATTGAGTTTCTCTTTCCTCAACTATTCCCGTAACCATCCTCCCACGTATTTCTCTCTCCTTCCTGCAGTAAAGGGCACGTAGGTTCCCTATCTCCCCTGAAACCTATTCCCCTTCCCGCAGCAGCGACAAACTCAATCATGATCCGTCAGCGACCAAACTCTTTCCTTCCCATCACCCCACCAGTAACCAAGTTTCCGATCGGATTGAATTTTTAGGCAGAGGGAGAGCGCCTTCGCCAGTCAAGGACGGCACCCCAGACCTTCAAACGACTATTTTCAGCCCTTTGTTTCGTGAGTTTAGTTTTCACGCAGATCGTCGCCACCGGCCGCACAGCTTTTGATTTGAAACTAATATTGGTTTCGTGGGATGACTTCTTCAGAACGATCGGCGCCTTATATTTGAGGTCAGTATCTCAATTTTCGATATCTATGAATCTCCATTTATCGGCGCCTTCTTTAGAAAATGCAAACTTACTCCTTCCCTCCTATCGATGAACCACAGAAAACTGATCTCCGATTGATGAACCACAGCGACGTTGATAAAGCAGTGCGTAGCGATGGTGTGGATCAGACTTGCTTCCCCCAACAATACTAAAAGACAAGTGGATAGAACCAAAACAATCTCAACCAATTAAAGCAATTGCACCGCAGCGCAGACCCCTACCTCCACCAATCGAGAAGGAAACGAGAGAATCGAATTGCTGTGAGAAAAGTCTGAAAGGGGAACCTAACGAGAAGAAGAAGAAGCAGAGATAAGGCAATGGCTTTCTCGAACAATATGTACTAATTCCCGGGTATGTGCTCCTCCCTGCACCAATGTTTATTTTGGTTCTTTCACCTTCCTTCATTGTTCGCATAAGGTTTGTCAAACTTGGGGTTGTACTCACTTATTGAAAATGTGGACTACAATTGACTTGGTAATGGGGTACTACCAATACTGTTGGCCCTAGACAGCAGGATCTTTCACACATCGTACTTCTTACTGAATGCATCAGAAAGGGGTTTTACTTCGTTTGCCATGACTTTCCAGTGTGATGGGTTGGATTGGTTGTGAAGTTCCTTGGTTTAAGATGGGTGTGAAGTTCCTTGGTTTAAGTTGGTGTCTTGAGTTATATAAGAGAAAAAAAATTTGCTCCTGAGATTTTCAAGGAGAACAACGAGCTACATTCTTTGTTCTGCAATTCCACCGTGTATTATACATTCTTTAATCGAGATCAAGTTTTGAATATTATATCCTCGATTTACTTTGAACCACAGTTTGAGAAGGAATCTTTCTACTGTGACTCCTTTCCTTATACTTTCAACCCTCTTATTTTTATTCTCGGCGTTTGTTTGTGCCCCCAATATGGGTTTGTCAATGATCTATAAGTTCAAAGACATTAGTTATACAAGCCTTTTGAAACAAGCATAGTAAAAGGTGTTTTCCACATCCTGGCTCCCGTTGATTTTGCACATTCTTATATGCATACTTGGGTGAATGGTTGAAGGTTTAGGTTGAGTTCATTGCAAGTCAATATGGATATACCCCTATCAAAAAATCAATTACGGAGGATTATTATTAGTAGAAATTGGGTTAATTACAACAAGATGACATACCATGACCGACACAAGAAATGAAGTGTGTCATTATCAAGGGCAGAGAGAGGTCAACGAAGATCCTCTATTAGGGAACTTTGGGTACCAGTTTGCAGTTCTTGGCGATTACAGGCATTTGCATCCTTAGGAGGCCTTTTGAGTGGGTTTTCATTTGTGGGAAGATGGGAGTAATGTGATAGAATGAGTGCTATAGTTGTTTTGTCTTCTTTGGCTTGCTGCCCCTTAACAGCTTGGTTTTAGTTGGTTTGTAGTATTTCTTAAATTTTTTTCCTTGATTGGAACTGATCATGAGTGGTTATGAATGAGGGGAATCATAGTTCTGATGTATGTAGTCGTTAAGGTATGTGGTTTTTTACATGTATGTAGTTATGCTATTTCGGAATGCTTAACTTTGAGTTTGAGAATGGTTTCTGCTGAATGGTTATCTTACGTTATGATTGATTTTTATTTTATTTTCACAGCTCTCTATCCATGTATTGGAATTCCAAGGTGTGATTGCAAGGGCAACGAGAAAATGTGTAATGATATACTCTCTTCTAGATAAAAGAAGCAGCAACACATGTATGGAAGCTTAGGTTATGAGCGACCACTCTTGAGTAAATTCCATTTTGATTTTGGCTTAAGTTAATCTTCTGGCAGTAATTATATATAATACCCAACATCTTCGCTTAATTATATTACAACATACAACTATGCAGAGGCATGCACCTTTTATTTCTCTTTGTGGGCTACTAGAGCTTTCTGTTCATTTGGTGGAATCTGGGTTGAGTGCTTATGATGGGGAAATAGATTGACATGGATGTAGTAATTCATTTAATTTGAATATGACTGAGAAACCTTTGTTAAGTTGCTTGATTTACAAATGTTGGATTCAGGGAACAAGTTGATGAGCTGGGAGGAGTGGTCATAGATGCACAAAATCAACTGCAACTTCGTCGTGGGATAAATGAGAATGAGATTGTAGAGGCCACTATAGTTGGAGTTTCAGCGAGGTGGAGAGAAGTTGATAAGCTGTGGAGAAAATCGAGGCAAAGATCGGGTGGGTGGGAGAGAATCGGGAGGATTGGAGGGTTATGCGAGTCCAATGGAAAATCTTCAATGCAAAGTTTATCGCAATGAAAACAAAGCAAAGAAATTTTAGGGTCGTACAAACCAATGGGGCGACAGGAGGTCTGATTGGGTGCCCACGCCTCAATTTGGCATTTGTCTTCTCATTAGCGTTTATTTTTCAGCAAACCAAATTAAGCTATGCGCAACCCAATTTACATGTTAAGAAAATAGATTTGGAATATTTGTTGGGATATTATTTTGGTGAAATACCCGTTAAACACACATTATACCATCTAATTAATTTTCATATTGAATTAAAAATCACAAAAAACTAATTGGAGATAAGTTATGAAAAAATTGGTTGAAATATTCCGGCCAAAGGACGGGTTCAAGCTAGTATATATATATTCAACGAAGGAAAAAGCATCCTTGAACAACATAAGCAAGAGTACACTTGAAAGGCTCTTTATGATTGTCATCTCCTAGTTCCTTCAAGAACTGGCTGGCTGTCTAGAGTTCATAGTTCAGAGCTTCCGGTTTGTAATTTACAAGTTTTGTTTATACAAGTGCTGTTTGGTTTAATGTGTTTTAATAGACTGGACAAGCAATGCACTCATTCGTACTACTTTTTACATCCTCAAACAGGTAGGTAATAGAACTCACCAGTCACCAGTAATCCTTGCAAGAACACCATCCATTCTCAAACCAATGAAATCTATGTCAAAGGACCGTCTAGTATCAAGAATATCACTATATTATGTGTACCAAACAATTATTAATATTTAGTTTGCAGTTCTCTTTCGAATAATGTTCTTTGTCAATAACCATTTAGTAACTCGAGTTGTAGAGATAAGTTTTAATAATGAATCTTACACCAAACAATAATTCATAATTTAGTTAGTCGTTCGCTTTCGAATGATGTTCTTTGTCAAGAACTGTTCAATATCAATAACTCGAGTTATTGGAAGAGGTTCGATAATATATCGTGTACTATTTACTAGCACGCTCTCTCGTAAGAAAGTCAGCTCATACGGATTGAAGTTTGCACAAATCTGAATACCGTATGCGTAAAAATTGATGTTCCCAAGATTCGAACACAAAACTTTTCGACCAACTATTTTCAATTAGATGTTCCATAATTTTCGATATCAACTAATTATTGTATCTAATTTAACCATTTCCCTTCCTACTTAGGATGAGTCCCGGAACCCACCCTCTCACATTCTCCCTCCGGCATTGACTTTTAGTGGGAGTCGATGAGCCAGTACTAGGATGGTTCCTTCATTGTTGCTTGATGTTAATAATTGGGGGTTGAAAATGAGAGATTTCAGGCCAAAACAAACACATCTACAGAAAGCGGCATCTCGATGGATCCATTTTTGTGGGATTTGAAGGAAGTTTCAACCCAATGTTGATGGGAAAAAAACATACCAGGAGTTGATAAAAAAATGCCAAAAGAAATCAACAAATGGAGGTTCAATCAATTCCACAGTTTAAAATAAAGAGGTAAGACATGAGAGTATTAGTATGGTATAGGTTTTGTATTTCGGTTTGATTCTCACAACTTATTATTTTGAGTAAAAATCTTTCAGTATTTACCGACAGAATTATAAGATCGGATTGTATGCTCTCATATATTTGACATATATTTACGGATGTGTAAGGTAATTAATATAATGTAAATGGATGTGTAAGGTTATCATAATTTCGAACGGATGTGTAAGGTAATTAATATAATGTAAATGGAGGGTAAAAGTTATAATAGTGATATATGTAATTAAAAATCAAGCCGTTAAACCCAAAATCAATCAACCTCGAGGACTGCTAATTCAAGGAGACAAGACAAAATGGACAAAGAATCCTTACCACCTTGTCTTTTGAGTGCTCGAGGACAAGTCTAGTACATAGGCAAAACAACATCATGCTAGTTACTATTGAACTTGGTTGGAAGAAAAATAATAATAGTTGCTAATTGAAAATTCTAATTACTATCTTATTTACGGAATAATGTGGTCTAATTTCACTTCAGCTAGGAACATAAACACTTTAAACTAGTTTTGTGTCCGCCCGATGAGCGGTATATTTTATTTTTGTCATTTTCTCATAGACTACTATTTTCCTTCATATATACTTATTAACATTATTTATTATTCAAACATTGTCTCATAGGAGGGCCTCTACATCTATTTTGAGTGTGGCAAGGAGCAATGATCATGTAAACAATAAGAGTCGTCACTCTTCATCACCAAGTGGAAGATCACTTCACGATCATCTGCTCTTTGTTTAGAGACAGTCTTCAACTTCATTTGTACATAACTTTTCATTGATTTTGCCTTTCATGCATCTATATGTTTGGAGTAAATATTGTTAGCGTCTAAAATTATTTTCAGTCTCGTAATGCATAATTCACGTAGATAATTCAAATCATCATATATAATGATCAAATTGGAGCTATTTTAATAGATTCTCCAATTGATAAATGTATAACTGAACAAAGTTAGTAATTGAACATTCTGGTGGTAGTAGACTGCTCAATCGATGGTAAATTAGTCCATGATTGATACGTATGATCCATGTCCATCATTCAAATAATGATCTATCTTGCCACTCTTATAACTAAAGTCAAAAGATATCATTGTTGTGCATAGTTCCTTTTTAATGATGTACTTTGTATTTTGAAATAACATCACCACGACACTAACATGTACTTGAATACGGTCCAAGAGTAAAAAAATTCACCTATTTGATAAATAAGCACCTAGGAAATAAAATAGTGCATATCATGAACATGTAGTTAAGGTGTAGTAGTAGTCAAAGCAGTTAAAATCGAGATTTTACGTAAAATCGAAAATGGGGATAAAATCGGAATATTAAAATTGTAGTATTCTAAGGTCCATATAAAAATGAAGACGGAATAATATTAGTAAGGAAAATCATGAATAACACAAAAGCACATAAAACTTACAATGATAATTTTTCAAGGTTAATGTTGCAATGTATCAAGGTTAATGTTAAGAGGTGGTGAATCAATAATGATTAATACATTGATGTGAATTGATTATAATCGATGGTGGTTAGTGTGAGAGAACTAGATGATATTGGTGGAGGAGAAGAAAAAGATGCGTAATTTTGCAAATTCTAGGGAAAATAAGTAAAATTGACTCAAAGATTTAAATCATAAGATCGTAAGATTTTAAAGATTTTAATAATTTAAATCGTAAATAGTGTTGGATTTTAAGGTCCATAGATGTTATAGTGAAATCAGAATTGGAATAGGTAAATAAAATCATAAATGCGTAGAATTTTAGGATTTAAATCGGAATTTTGACTACTCTGGTAGTAGTCTTGTACTACCAATCTATACATCTATAATTTTGTATTACCTTTAATGATTTAACACTTACATAACCAAAATCAGTCATAGAGACACTCCGCCTCCAATTTACAATGTCATTCAATATTAATTCAATCATATCCACACAAAAAAAAATAGCAGTGATGACAGTTGTAATGTTCCTCCTTATAGTTTGCTCCCCATCATTGTTATAATTACAAAATGCAGAATGCGAAAGATCATTTAATTGTAATTATTTACGAATGACAGAGATTGAGCAGAGCCGACATATAAATGTTTAGAAAAAGAACTATTGTTTATAGAAGAAAAAGGCGGAAAAGAAAAGGAAAATTTTCAAACAATGCTAACTTGAACGAAGTTGAAATGCGAAAAGGAAACTGAAACCCACTTCAATATTTTTCTAAAGACAACAGGTAATGGTTGTCAAACTTGTCTGGAACTCTTTATTTGCATAACCGTAAAATTAAACAAATGTATAACCACTCCTACCTTAATTTTAACGTACTATATCTTATTCGTTTGAACTTGAATTTCATATTTGTTTACATAAAAAAATCAGACTAATATATTCTAAATGAAATTTACAATTATATATATATTGGAAAAAGTACGTAGATATATTTTAGTTTTTTTTTAATTATTTTATTTATTTACTAGTGTAGGAATTATCGTATATTATGGTGACACATGACTGATCTACGTATGTATATTTTAATGATTTTTTGGTGTTGGAATATGTTACATAAATACATGATAATATATTTTGCTTATCATGTTAGCATTTTAAATTCATAATATAATCAATAACTAATGCAATAGGCACAAAAATTGTTATATTTTAATATATAACTATATGAGTGTATTGGTATATATATTTATAGTAGTACAGATAAAATATTATATTTTTGGTGTTATGTAATACCAAAGAAGGTTTTCCTTTTATTTCTCATATTTTTCATCATAAAATGAACATTATATAAAAATTAACTAAGTGTTTGGATTTGGATAGCAATTGAATTTCGGCTTTTCATCTTATAATTTCATTTATGGTTTTGTCAAAAAACAATTAATTTATTATTGAACATATCATAAAGAAAACTTAAACATAATTTATTTTTATTTATTAATAATTTCTTATGATGGATATAAAGTATAATAGATATTTTTAGTTGCTTTAATTTATGTCAAATTTAGGGAAAATATTTATATAATAGAGTCGATGGTCAACTGCTAAATCAAGAGATCACTAAAAGGTCAGGTGTTAAAATATTTCATGAGACGAATAGTAATGTTTATTGTGGTTGATAACATCAAATAGAATTTATCTCAATGTTTAAACACTTTTAATGATATTAATTTGTACATTGCAGGTTATAGGTTCGAGTCTCGATGATGATTATATATCTATTTATTATTTTTAGCTTAGTGTAACATAAAAAAATATAGAAGAACTAAAATGATAAATATGACATGAAAAATTGTAAAGTTTCTTGAATCCTACGTGGCAAGAGATTGCTCTAAAACAACCATAATATAAGTTACTAGCTTTTTACCAGGCCCATTGGCCGGTGAGTTTCATTTTATCATTTACATTAATCAATTTATCTATATGTTTAAACTATTTTGGATCTTCTAAACTTTTGCATTTGCATTCATGTGTGAGTATGCGGTGCATCTATAAATTAAAAATTCTAAATGCTTAGCACGTTCACTTATGATGTTTCGATTCTCTGATCATAAATCATGTTACAAAGATATATCACGTCCCATATAGAATCTTATGTCAAGACTGTCAACAACGATACTCAAAATTTTTTATCTTATACAATATATGCCATTCAATGAATCTCGAGTTTGGACGAACTCTCAACCAATGATGTTGCTCATATGACGACAACTTAGTTAGAATGTTTTTATAAAGGTACTTCAATATTAGATAAATTTGGTCATCCAAATTGAAAGTTTACTGTCTTATTGTAAGATCATATTTGTCGATCAAGACACAATTTAATATCTTATACAATATGTACCAATTGTTAATACCTGAAGTTTAATTTAGACGCACCCTCAACTCATGATCGTTGTTTAGATGTTGGTTTAGAATCTCAGTCCAAGATACTCACACACCGTCGAGGGTTCTAATCTTAACATGGTCCATTGGTGTATAATTTTCTAACTTATCAAATATGCATTTGCTTAAACTTATACTAATATCTTCATTTTGTTTGTGTAATGCCACATCTATTGTCAATATCTAAGCATGATACTATATACTATAAGGAAGAAAACGCTATCTAGACCACGAATTAACCGGATTTGTGGGCATGATACTATACCCTAACTCTTGATGAGTGAACCCTATGTCTTAGTTATCTAAATCATAGAGCTTAACCCCTAAGATTGTACATGTAATTTGTTGCATATATTTTGACAAAACATGACCGTTGATTTTTGTTTATAATTAAATTGATCTTAGGGTATGAGATTTATAAATTTAAGACCTGGATTTTAATCTTTAAGGGTTTGAGAATAATACCATATGCCAAACTTTAGTCAATTCAAGGTCTATATATCATTTTCTTACTCAAGGTATGTCATAATATATTCATATATAAATATAAAGAGTTTAATGTATTTTTAAGTGTAATTAACACCTTTGTTTGACCGAAATATGTAAACCGTTGAGAAAAATAAGGGGAAATGTGAACAAATGTAAGAGAAAATAAGGTATGGAAGCATGCATTATAAGAGAGAAGAAAAGTTGTCTTTCTTTATCGCCTTCATTTGTACAATCAGGTACTATATTATGACTTCGTCAAGTTTCTATCAAAATGAAAAACAACTTTTGAAGCATTTTGCTACCATATGCCAAACTCCAGTCAATTCAAGGTCTATATATCATTTTCTTACTCAAGGTATGTCATAATATACATATATAAATATAAAGAGTTTAATCTATTTTTAAGTGTAATTAACACCTTTGTTTGACCGAAATATGTGAACTTTTGAGTGTGAACAAATGTAAGAGAAAATAAGGTATGGAAGCCTGCATTATAAGAGAGAAGAAAAGTTGTCTTTCTTTATCACTTTCATTTGTACAATCAGTTACTATATTATGACTTCGTCAAGTTTCTATCAAAATGAAAAACAACTTTTTAAGCATTTTACTATTTGATACTTGTTTTCATTGATGGATACAAACATTAGAAAAAGATAGTGTTTGATAACCAAAACATAAAATTATATAGTTGGTTTTTCAAATTCAATTGATTATTAAATGTTGATTATCTAAACTTCACTATATTAAGTTCTAATAAAAATAAAAATTAAAAATTAATTGATTGGATTTAATCAAATATATTTGTTAAAGGATTACAATATATGTCACTCTTCACACATAAGTATATTGTTGCTATACATATTTATTGCAAAAAACACTTATTGAATAAAAAAGAATATATTAAAAGGAGATAGAGATAGCTACATAAATGATCATTAAAATAAAAAGAAAATATTAAAAGAAGATAGATATAGCTACATTAATTGATCATTAACTAACTTTTTTGTTTGTAAAAAAAAGTGTCCACCATGGCACCTTGTAAATTCTTCAAATACTTATGTGGCAACAAACTACTTTTGAATTGGCATAATATTATGTATAGATAGATAGATAGATAGATAGATAATAGATTAGAAACTTTGGATTAGTGATAATTGATAAATTAATTTCATTCAAAAAGGTGGTTGGTAGCTCATTGAAGTTTGCATGAACTCATGATTTTTTTTCTCACAAAAGATAATCTTATATTGGTTAGAAAGAGATCGAACAAATTACAATATGGTATACAACCAGGAGAGGAATAAAAAAGCGACATGTTGATAGAATCAAGGATTTGGGATAGGTAACTTGTTGATCAACTAGGAATTGATCTCCCAATGAGAACTATGGATTTGGGAATTTGGGGAAAAGAATTAGAAAAGAGTGGTTGAGAGGCAAGGCTGCGGCAACAACAGCAGCTAGGGAAGAGAGGAGGAGGGTTTCGGCTGGAAGGGAGAAAGAGAGACTTAATTAGGTTTAGTATTCTACTTAGTGGAATAAAATCCACTAGCTAACTATTTGTATAATCCGCTAATTACCGCATGCTACCCCAAATATTATAACCCGTCAATAATCCCCAAATAATGTTTAACAACTCATAACAACTAATAAACCGACAAACGACCAAAGCATGCAAAGTTTATGTTTCCATCACATGTAGCCGGATACAAAGAAAGGGTCTTTCTAGTCACTAAGTGGGCTACCCGATTGCTATTCCGACCTGCAAATCGTACACTAATCCCATAAAAATTTCTCAGCAGATCACGAACTTCCACAAGAATGGCTCTAAAACGATTATCTTATACATTTATAGTAATTCGAGTAACTCTAATTATCAGATAGATTCGATCTATTAATAATCTTATATCTTTATCTTACAGTATTTATTTGGGGCTTGTTTGGAAGTTGTGATTCTTTAAATTGATGTATTGAGACAATTAGTGTATTATCATTTGATGTATTGAATCAATTGATGTATTAGACAAATATCTTGTTTGGAGGTTTAGATTGTGTTTATGTTCTAAAGGTAAAAAAGTTAGTTTTGAGTGATTGTGAAGAATCTCAACAAAAAGTAGAGATTGTAAATCCCTCAATATTGAGTGATTATGGTGGGGCCTTCAAAAAGTAAATGCATGTATTCTAGTTCTATATAAGTCAAAAAACGACTTAATCTCACAAATACATGAATTAGGTCAATACACCATTTGAAATCACAACTTCCAAACGACCCCTTAGACTATCCGACATCGGTAAATGGGAGGGAAAATGTCAGTTTTGTCCCCTATTTTATTTCTCTGGGTCTCGTCAAAGTGAAAAAATTGAATTATTTGGCTATACAAAAGAACCAAAATAATTCTAAAGTCAAATTATTAGAAATATTTTAGACATTTGTGTCTACCAAACCAAAGTTCTCACTTGGTTGATGGTTTTTGGATGCAAATTTTAACAAAAGGGCTTGTTTGATAATTTTTTCAAAGTACAGGAACACGTTTGATGTAAAAAAATAGTAGAGTAATATGTTTGATAAAACGTCATAAAGGGACATATTATACCTATAACCCTATTTATTTATATCTGGTTTTTGTTCTCTAGAGGCGTCATGATGGAGAAGTCATTCACCCACTATATTTGGGTTGAAGATATCTGCACTCTGATTGGCTGATGATTAACCGAAAAAGTATGATTAGTTCCCTCTAGAAATATCTCGTAAATCGTAATTATTAGATTACTATGTTTATTGGAAAATTAAATGAAACTTGCAAATTGCAAATGTTGGCGAGATAATCTCCACTCACATGCATAAGACGCTTCAAGAAGATGTACCACTTTTATTTTATATCAAATGTGACACATATAGCCATATTTTTTCGTCAGCTGCAATGATGGTCATGATTTTTCTTTCGCGTCGACAATAGCAAGAGCCGAGAGGAAAAATGGCTATATCCTGAGTTAAAAATATTATTAACTTTTTTGTGAAATAATTAAAAATAATAATCAATTTCGATGGCCTGACATGAGTAACTAGTGAGAAACTTGAAACAACATATAGCGATGTGTGTGTTCACATATCTTAAATATGGCTAAATTTGTCATTATAAAAATATGTGGTTATATCGCACGCAAACATCAAAGTTTGATTAAGTAGACCAGCCGATGATCCAACAATGACAAAAATATAGTACATTTACAGGTCAAATTACAAAGAAGCATTAAGGGAAAGCCCTTGGTCGACCAACTGACGATCCAACGATGAGAGGGCTTTTCTTGCCATGAGATAGACAACCCTATTATACTTACGCAGTTACACTACACAAAGTGAAACGATGCACGGTAGAAAGATAAACGAAGAACCTAAACCTCATACTCATAGAGTAGGCTTTCACCCAACGTGTGCGCCGAATCCTTCAAATTAACATGTAAATGATCACCTTTTTAATGTAATCATGTAGATGTGTTTGTCTTCATTATTTTAGGTACATACTTAAAATGATTTACTTGTAGCAATCAACTAATTAAACTATTCCCAAATAGCATTAGAGATATGATTAACTTTCACTGTCCTAACTCCTAACTATAGTGCGAGTCTAGCTAGGCTCATAGGATTCGGTGAGGCCTTCACAGTCGGCGGCCGCTATCCAGATTAAAAAGTAATTCAATCACAAATGGAGATCGCTTAATTTTATAACATAAGATAAAAAAGTCTAATTAAGCTTTGACTTGTGTGACAAAATGGAATGCTTCTGGACATAATCGTAATGTTTCAATGTTGTATTATATGTTATTGTCATACTTGAAAAGAACCAATGACAAAATTATGGTTACCTTTGCCTTTTATGACCAAATCATATGTATGTTGGTCTTCAATTCGATATGATAACCTAATACAATATATATTTTTACAAAAGCGGAAGTACTCTTGCGATAAAATTAAAATCACCCTTTGACACTTGTATAGCTATCAATGCGACAACAGACTTTGTTTTGTATCTAGATTTTTACTCCAAGCTAACTTTATGAATCTAGTGATTATTCTTAATTATTTCTACGCTAGTAAGAGAACAAGACTGACTCTAATTGGACGTCATTTTCATTAAGGTAGATGAAATATGTTGAGATTTGAAAGACTTAAACGAGGGACGGGTTAGCATGCTAACCTCTTAAGGGGTTGGTTTTTTGACACCCCCTTTTAATTGGTCAATTTTTCATTAATTATTGACAAGTATTAATGAAAGTAAACATAATAAATGTTCTGTTATTAAATACAAAGTAAGCATTAAATACACCACATTAATTACCACTTTACTGGTATTTGAACCACTGCACTGATACTCAGATATGATATTGCTACCAGTGCACTGATATCGCTACTAGTGCAGTGGTATATCTACCAGTACAGTTGTACAACGTATCAGTGCAGTGGTATCTCTACCAGTACAGTGGTACACCGTATCAGTACAATGGTATATTTTTTTGAGGTGGTCGGAGGGAGTCTGCCGATGGGATTTTCACCGGAAAAGTGTGGCGGTCGGAGGAAGTCTGGTGGTCGGAGACTGCTGAAAAAGGAAAAATCAAATATAGTGAGAGAATTCCTAATGTGTATTTAATGTGTGTATTTAATTCCTAATGTGTATTTAATAGTGAGAGAATTTCTAATTAATATGGTACATTTAATTCCTAATGTGTATTTAATGTGTGTATTAAATTCTATAGTTGTATTTAATATACTAGGGGTGTCATTTTTCCAACCCCTAAGTGGGGTTAGCATGCTAACCGACCCCTTAAACGAGTACTAAATTTACTTGAGAAGCTAATCAAACCACATTTATTTATGCAATTAATGATGTTCTTGACGACTGAATCCACACACATCAACCACTCATTAATTGTGTGTCCCTCTAGCTGATCACTAATTATGTGAAGAATCAAGGTGCATTATTTTTAAGAAAACGGAACATTAATGCCAAGAGGAGGTCCATAGCTGGAAGATAATGTCCTACAAATTAAGATGCCACCGACCTTCCAATTCTTTTATTGGGTGATCACACGAAGCCCGAAGTGAATTAAACTATAACCTCATCTCTCAAGTAAATAACACGTATTCACATCACATGCTAGAGTTGACCTCCACAAATAAAATAAAATAAAAATGATTACTAGTACTTATTTAAGTAGAAATTAATTAATCAATCAATTCCTTAATTATGTTAATTAAACGATCAATACATTCTGATTTCTGCCATAAATGACTATACACTAAAAAAACAAAACTAATCTAGCTAAAACGATGAAGAAATTATGTCCCCGTAAAAACTATCTTTCTTCATCGAGATGTGATCATGGTGGTGATGATGAAGCGCCAGAAGTCCATTCTGGAACTGAAACAACGGCTTGTTATCCACCGCCGACACGACGACGTCGTCGTCGTCGAGGCAGTCCATGGGAGTCATCGGATCATTTAAAAGTAGATGATCGGACGGCGGGGATTGCTGCTGCCCCACCATCTGGCTAATGCAGACGATCTCAGCTTGAGCGAGAGCAAGCTGCATTTGGAGCTGGGCGACTTGGTTCTGAAGGTAAGATATGGCGCCCACGCAGCCGTACACCGGGTCCCGCAGCCTCGCGTTCGCCTCGTAGACCAGGCTGTTCACGGCGTCGGCTCTCCTGTCGGCCGGCAGGTCCTGTCCGTGGATCGGAGAGTAACATTTTTTTAGCTTGAGTTTCAATCAAGATTCATTAATACGAAACATAGTGTACAGAGTTGACACAATACTAAGGAAGAAAGAAAGAAAGAAAGTGCGTACGTGGAGCATTTTGGCGACGTTGCTGGCGCCGAAGACCTTGTGGACGATGGCGAACTTGTGGGGGTCGGCGGGAGGGAAGTAAGGTGCGAAGATGCAGTCTCTGGCGCACCGCCGCCGGAGCAGCTTGCAAGAAGCGCAAGGTGAAGAAGAAGAAGTATTAGTAGTTGTAGTTCCCACCATGTTTGTAAAGGAAGACAAAGAAAGGTTGGAGTGAAGGAGATGGAGATCTCTTTTAGTGGGGGCAAAAGGTTTAGGGGAATGAGTTTATTTATAATTGGGAAAATGTGACATGTATTATTGAAGCACCCACACAAAGAAAGAGTGTAATATTTTTAAAAATATAAATTACCACGAATCTAGAATAGGCGGCAGTTCAAAAGAAAACTACTATAGCTAGCTAGCTAGGGGGCATTAATTATTATTGAATTGTTTTTTTTTTTTTTTTGTGAAAGTTGAATTGTTGTTTTTCCCTATTGACCAAATCATTGAATTATTGACATCCACACTGGCTATAGATACACAATTGCACAGTTCAATTTGGTGAGAACAATCGATTGCATTAGGAGATATTTTTTTATTAAAAAATACAACAAATGTCTTTTCAACCTATATTATTAGTTGATCTAGCTATGAAAGGGTACTTGCCAAGTGGTATTATAATTCATATGAGCTTAATTTCCACAATTTATCACTGCAAGGAATTGTTTTGGGTGATAATAATAAGTTGGAATTATCCATTTACATGAGTTTGTTGAATGTTTATTATGTGGAGAGATTTCAAACATATACATCAAAATATTTCGTAATAAAAATTGTAGGCGGATCATACCGTAAGAAATACAAAAAAAATTCATTTCACTTTTTTGTCCCGTTACAAAAACTCCAAGTATTTGTTTTTTCATGTGATTTTTTTTTTAATGATATGTTCAAGTGATTTCACATATATGTCCACATATGATAAGTGATTAATCAATATAATTCAGTGTGTCTATTGCAAACTCATACAACAGGAAGCTTCTAATGAAGCGTTGCCTCTACGGAATCAACGTTAACTAAAAATGATTGTGGTTAATAATTTCGGCTGGCCGGACCATTATTAGAATAGGAACTGGCTGTGTGCGGTGGCCGGTTGACTGTCGCCGGCGGGGGTGCGTAAACCGTGTGTGTGATGTGTTGATCCCCCGGCGTGTAATTGCAAGGTTCCCACGTTGCTTTGTTCTTTGTTGACTTGCTCGGTCTCCTCACCAACACACGACAAAGAAGTAATCATACAAGGATTGTTAATTATTCATGGCTTCAACTTCTATTAGCTTTTTCCTACCAAAAATGAAACTTCTATTAGGTTTTCAGTCAAGCCCAAAACACGAAATGTGGGAAAAGGATATCTTTTTTCTCTAAGCAGCATATTAATCAAATGGGTTTTATAGATACCCCGTAAATGTCAAGCTAGCTAGCTTATTACCAACATATAAATAGTAACAAATACCTTTCTCGATCTTTTGATTGAGATCAAGTATAGTGTAAATATTAAATAGTAACCACGAAAATCATGTTTCTAAATGATGATCACGTACGGTAGTCTGCTGCAAATGTTTATTTTGAAAATATGATCGAGCTAGACGTATTGTTATTTGTAGGTACATGCATACATAAAGCGTAGTGTCTACGTTTGCCTCATGGATGATATGACCAACAATTAAGGAATTGTTTATGGGTAGAATTACCAATCTGAATTTCAAATCTCAAACAAATGTGTACAACGAGATCGTGTAAAATCCTCATCAATTTAGCTTCAATAGCCACCTTCAAACATTAACTTCAAAAAGCATTTTCATTTTTCATTATTTAATTTACTCTCCTGCTTTTTCCTCAAAAATTTGTTATTCTATTGAGTTACTCTCTCTCTCTTTTCTCTCTCCTTTTCGTTCTCTGAAGAAACCCTAAGTCGGCGATGGCCGCCTCGCCGGCTTCCCCGGCTGGCGAGGGCTCCACCTCCTGGGCAAGTCTCTTTGCTGTTGCTCCAGAGAAGAGACTCACCTTCAGGCCCCCAGAGAGGGTCAACGATGGTTTCAGGATTCCGAAAGAGGTTAAGGAGAAGGGCGCTGAACGATGGCGGGATTCACTTGTGGGGCAGTTCGTCAGGAAGCGTCCGGAGGTTGCAGAGCTCCAGTCATGGGCGAATAAGCTATGGGGGAGAGATGGCACTGTGAGGGTCTTGCGATTTAGTCCGCGGATGCTGATTTTTCAATTTCCTTCTCCTTCTTCGTGTGAGTGGGTTTTCACGTCGGGACTGTGGCACTTCAAAGGGAATCCAATTTTTTTCGGGAAATGGGAAGTGGGCATCCAGCCAATAGTTCCACAGGTAGAAACATTGCCGATCTGGGTTACGATTAGAGGATTACCGTTGGAATATCTGGGTAGTGATGGGGTTGAATGGGTTGCAAGTGTGATTGGGAAACCGCTCTGGACTGATCAGAAGACTAGGGTAGGTGCTCAACTGGGATTTGCGAAAGTTTGTGTTGAGATTGTAGCTGACTGTGGGTTTCCGGACAAGGCTCGATTCTACCCTGATAATGATTCTGATTTTGATATTGGTTTGGAATACTCACATCTTTCGAAAGTGTGCTCTAAGTGTCGTTTATTTGGACATAGTTGTATGCAGGAGCCTGTGCAGCAGTGGAGAGTTAAGGAAGCTGATTTGTTGGGGATTGTGCAGACTGTTGTTGTAGATTGTGGTCAAGCGGGGTTGGCAACTGAGGGAAGTGATGCAGGTAAAATTAAAGGAAGTGGAGTGGATCAAAATGCTGTAGAGATTCAGGGTGTTGGAGAGGTAGATAGGGTGAATGGAGATGGAGGGGAGGTACAGGCTGCAGAAGCAGTTACTGCAAATGGTGGACAGCTGGACTTAGTGGTTGAGGGGCAGGTAGCTGGGGGAGGTACAGAGGTAGGAAAATCTACTGTGATGGAAGCTGAGTTAGACACTGAACATGACTTTGGCACTGCAGAAGGGAGGGAACAAGAGAAAAAGGGCGATGAGCCTGATTCTGCAGGTGAGGCTACTGACAATGTCAAGACTGACGCCACCCCAGACCTTGTCTCAAATGGGGGATCTCCTCTGAGCTTTGCTCAAATAGTGAAGAGATCATCACCTCTAGGTGGGAGTCCTGTTGATGTTGAGCAAATGTCTGTGAGTGGTAGGTCACCAATGACTGGGAGCCTTCGACCTCAGACATCTCAGGGGGATAAAGGGAAGGAGAACAGGCAGCCTCTTATTGACAAAGGAAAAAGAGTTTGGGTGGATTCTCCTCTGGTGCCTATTCAGCCAAGGAGAGGAGGAAAAGGTGGGAAGGGGAGAGGTAAGAGATGAAACTCCTTACCTGGAATACAAGAGGGTTTAAGGCAGAAGGTAAATATACAGCAATACTAAAAAAGATAAATAAGTATAATATATACATAGTTGCAATACTAGAACCTAGAATAAGATCCTCTGAGACAGACAAGCTAGTTGAGAAGAGATTCCCAGATTGGAGAAAGCGGGTACAACACAACTCAAATGGCCTGGGGAAGATTTGGTTACTCTGGAAAAGCGATATTCAGCTCACTGTTTTACATGCTTCTGATCAGTTCATTCAGTTTATGGTAGGGGGGATGCAAATGTTTTTTGGTACTGTGGTATATGCTTCAAATGAAGAGAATAATAGAAGGGAACTTTACAATGAGTTGAGAAGAGTTAAGGTGGCAAATGCTCCTTGTATTGTTTTGGGTGACTTCAATGATGTAGGAATTCTTCAGAAGCATCTAATTCTCCAGCAGTGGACTCTAGAATGATGGTGTTTAATGATTGGATCACTGATCTTGAGTTGGAAGAGCATCAAGCCACGGGGCCATGGTTTACCTGGCTGAATAAGCAATCTGCTAATCCAATAGCCAAGAGACTAGATAGAGTGCTTGTTAATTTTGAATGGTTAGACAAGGTGAAAGACAACAAAGTTCATATCCAAGCCCCTGGGGTATCATATCACGCCCATTATATGTTGACACTTGTGCTTCTATGAAGTCTCTGCGAAAGCCGTTCAAATTTTTCAAATTCTGGATGAGACATCCAAAATTTGATGATCTATTGGCAGAAGCGTGGCATAGTAGGGTGACTGGTCATCCTCTCATTAGAGTCTGTAAGAAGTTAAAGAATTTGAAGAATATGCTGAGGAAACTCAACAGAGAGGAGTTTTCGGACTTAAGGGAAAGGGTTAAAGAAAAAGAAGCAGAAGTTCATAGTATACAGCAGGAGGCGTTGTCTAACCCTTCACCTGAGATCAGGGGCGGAGCTACACAAGGCCTAAGGGGGGCCCCGGCCCCCCCGAGAATTTCAAAAATCACGAAAGAATGTAAGAGTATTCTGAAAATTACAAAGTAAATACAGTTGTTATAATAATGGCCGCGGGGCAAATGCTATCTAAAGTAGCTGATTACCCTAGTGGAGTTTGTAGTGATCTTGTATCAAACAGGTCAAGGGTTCAACCCACACCTATGTTAGTTTTTTCGGTTGGATTTTTTTACAATTTTATAGCTTTAATGGAAAAAATTTCCCCGACAAGTTTAACAATAATGTCAATCTAATTATTTGACAAAACATCTCGTACATTTTGATAATTCACACACTTAATTTATTTATATAGTTATATAATTATTTTGATTTTTTTCTTATTATGATAATATACGAAACATTTCCGGCCCCCCCAAACCCAAAATCCTAGCTCCGCCCCTGCCTGAGATTTTTGCCAAAATGACTCAGCTGGAGCAGGAATTGAGAGGTTTGTAATGTGATGAAGAATCATTTCTCGACCAGAAGTCAAGGGAAACTTGGTTGAAAACAGGAGACTCAAACTCAGCTTATATTTATAGATCCATAAGGACTAGGCAGAAGAGAAGTACAATAAGAGTCCTGAAAAATGAGCAAGGGGAAAAAGTCCAAGCTGTTGATGAGATGTCACAAATAGCAGTCAGATTCTATGAGAAGCTTCTTGGTATTGAGGATCCTGAGGTTGTAGCTCAAACAGATGAGTATATATCTGGCTTGCTGAAATGGAAGATTACCGTGGAGCAAACTGAAGGAATTTGTGACTCTTTCACAGAGGAGCAGATCAAAGAAGTTATTTTCAAGATGGATGGGGACAAAAGTCCTGGTCCAGATGGATTTTCTGCGGCCTTCTTCCAATATGCTTGGCCAGTTATTGGTTCAGAGGTTGTATGCAGGTCCCGGTGTTCCAAAATTGGGGGGATATGGTTTCATGGTTGATCGGGAAGTATGGTAAGCAGACAGAGGAGGCTGAGGCAGGAAGACTTATCTGGCAGTCATGGGTTAGACAGATGTGGAGAGAAAGGTGTTGCAGAATGTATGGGGGGTAAAGTTAGGGGGTTGAATGAAGTTTTGGCTGTAATCAGAACTGAGGTTGTGTTTGTTCTTGGAAGGGAAAGGGTGAGTCTCTTCTGGGTTGATTAGCTTGTGGATGTTTCAGAGGTAGTTTTTGGCAGTTCTTGATAGATGTCAACAGGTTGATTCTGATTCCCTAGCTAGCAAGGGTGTTGCTAGCAAACTCATTTTTTTATGAATAAGATCCCACAGATTCATATAAAAAAAATTATTATTCTTTTTATCCTTTTAGAATTGAATATTATATTTTTTATTACTCCTATATGCTTGCCATTGAAAATAACATAAACTACATCAAAAGATTCAAAACATAATAGTAGTAGTAAACGTTATAGGGTAAGTAGGAGACAAACATTCACGTGAAGGCACACCCATGAATGAAATAACACACTCTCGCATTAAATGCAATGGTTGACTCTTCTCGCCTACATGTTATAATAGGCAACAAGGGAGGGACAACTATTAGTTCATGTGGTTTTCTACATCTTGTAATTTGTGTTTATATTAAGTCTATACTGATCATCGTCAACCATCGGCTGTCCGACGATCGATATATACTAGCTAAGTAGCTAGGTAATACCAGGGATTAAAATATCATTACGTACTGGCAGTTCGGCCTGAAAAATTTCCTATCGGAAGTAAAATTGATATGCGGTATTTCGCGGTATAATATGGTTGAACCATGGTTAAACCACGATTTTAGTATAAAATACCCTATCGTTAATTTTTCCGGTACGGTATTTCAATCATTAGGTAATACTATATATGGGATTACATATCTCACTGACGAGATACATTGTTATACGTGAAGCTCACAAAGAATTTTGAGTATCTCTTTTTCGTTGGCCACCATTTGTTTATGTTGCAAATTAACTTGGCGTCCCATTGATGCTCAGTGTTTATGTTGGATGAATTATGCATGCATGTAAACAAACAACGACATTCCTTCTTCTTCCTCCTCCTCCCCTCAAAAGTCAAGGACAAATTATGAAAATGGGAGATTGGGATGGGAACATTATTAATTAGGGCCCTTGATCTCTTTCCTTTGGCCGGCTTGCTAAAAGAGAGTCTGTTACTTCATAATTATGTTGGCAAAGATTATGAATCGTAGCACGTCTTTGAGAATTATCATTACTTATGTCAAGTTGTTATAGAATTACGACATATTACCAATATTGGATGTATGAACTTCTCAAAAGACAAAAAAAGTCAAAAGACAAACCAACTCAATATTTTTCTTCTTCTTTTTCTGGTTTGAATTTCTTTTCTTTACTGTTTTATTTATAATACAAACATTCAAATTTTGGAAGGTGAAATTTGAGAGATTATTAAAACCTCACATCATAGACTAAATCGGTAGGCGATTTTAGCGGTATAAAATAGTAGAACCACAATTAAATTATACTTTTATAATTTTGCATTCCTTTGATCAACACTCATTCACTTACTCCCTTAGACCCTAGTCCCCTATTCGTTACTGGCAAAGAATCTTCAAGCAAGAACGTGTGGCCTCTTCATATAAAAAAATAATAGGTTAATACCTTATTATGACCCAAACTATAACCATATAATCAATTTTGGTCAGTGATTTCAGAAATTGTTATCCCGGTCTCAATTATACACCATATAGACTTAATTGGCCCGACTCGTGAATTTCCGCAAATTAGACGGTCAACAGTATTGACCATTAGTGAATCAGCATGCTTTGCCAATGTGGATGCCACATAGATATTAAAAATTAATTAAATATCAATACATTAAATAAATATCAAATAAATTAATAAATATAATTTAACTTATACGTTCTGTCAGAAAAGAAGCGTGCAAACGACAATCCATATCAACACAAACGAACACAAATTTAACGTGGTTCACTAACACAATGTGTGTTAGCTAATCCACGGGTAGGGGGGAGAACAAATTTCACTAATTTAAGGAGAGTACAGGTTACAAACCAAACAAACTAACCTGACTGACCTTACAACAGATTAGGGTGATGAAAAGTATTTATAGAACTCTTTTCCTAATCTCAAACAGAAAACCAAACACCTTTTCAAACCTACAAGGAAAAGGCCAAAATAAAACCCAAGTTGAATTCTGTCTCAAATACCAGATGTACCAGATGCAACCAAAGTTGTCAGATGTACCCAGACGCGATACATATCACCAAACTCAAATGCAATCAAAATTGCCAGACGTACTAAACTCCTCAAAATCTTCAAATGTGCCAGAATCTCCCATTCCTCCAAATGCCTCTAAGGGCTAAGGGCGGTCAACAAAGCAAATCATTTGGCAAGTCCAACCCATGCTGAGACTTGTCATTCAAAACCAGCTTGGTGCACTTATCACCAACAAAACATGTCAAAATAGAACCTTGTAGACCATACAAGGCACCAACCTTGACACCTTTCAAAATCACCTTAGAACCTTTGTAGACAGTCAACACTCCACCTTCACATTTGAAACTGAAACCCTTGCCGTTGAGTAGACTCAAAGATATCATATTCTTGGTCATCTCTAGAATATGCCTAACATTGTTCAAGGTGCGAACATGACCATCATATGTGTCCAACAATCTTACATATAACACCATTAGCCATAGAAACATGTCCTCCATCTATCTCCTCATAAGTTGAAAAACACTCCCTACTTGGACACATATGATGATTAGCTGGAGTATCCAAATACCACTCATCTTGATGATGTACATGTTCATTCACTGCTAAGGCTAAACCATCTTCGGAATCAGAGTTACTTTCTTCCGCCACAGCTGCAGATGATTCCTTCTTCTCCTGTTATTTCTTTAGTTTAGGACAATCGAATTTCCAATGTCCCTTCTCCTTACAGTAATGGCAGATATCATACTTCAAACCAAGAGAATTCGAATTTATATTCGTCTTTCTATTACCAGATTGGTGTCTCCTACTACTCGTAGC